TTTATGCGTCAATAAACGAAGAAGAAGGGGAAACTGGCATGTCGGATTTAGCGCAGCTGTTTAATTCAGAAACAGAGGATGAGGACTTTGATGGGTTTGATTAATACTCTGTAATAAATACATTAATAAAGCACAATCATACTCAGTTTTGCTCCCGCTCTATTTTTCTACCTGAAAACTTAATTCAACAGCAGCCTCTGGGCCGCGGGGCATCCGGGCTCACCTCCGCAGGTGTTTTTTCATCTAAATAATCTAAATCTTTTTAAGTGAGAAAGTCCACCTGAAAATTTAATCATTGCAGTCAGTTCATCCAGATTATTATCCTGCCTATGTTTTAAGTTAATTTATGCCTCAATAAACTGTATCAGAGGAGTAATCACAGCCCTGTGTCATCAGCATGCCGGTTCCCAGGTTTGAATAATACTTTGTAATAAATACACCTTGCAGCTTTATTTGCTGTGATCAGTGGGAATAAAGTAGTTTTAATATGTTTTTAAGTGGGAAAATCCACCTGAGAGGACATGTACCTGTATATAAAAAACGCGCCCTATAGTCCGGTGCGCCTTATGTGTGTGTTAAATACAGAAATGGGACACATAACCCAGACTGCGCCTTTTAGTCCGGTGCGCCTTATGGTCGTGAAAATACGGGGTACCTGCTTTTATCATGTTTTTCTTTTTTATCTTCATTTGCTTTTATTTTGCTTTTTATTCTATTTTATTATCTAATTCATGTAAAACACTTTGAATTGCCCTTGTGCTGAATTGTACTTCAAAAATAAACTTGCCCACATATTTACCTTAATGTTTAGCTATTTAGTATTTAATATTTAGCCGTGGAATTTGGTTAGACCATTCTCCTCCAGGTAAACTCACTCTGTAATTTATCTGGATGTATCCTTGGGCCACTGATATAAATATCATACTTTTCCTTTTATATTATGTGTATATTTTATATTATGTGCTCCAGTATTGCCAGTGGAGCAGTGGGGTGGTGGAGTTAAGACCATATTTCCAATTTCAGACAGAGACAGTCACACTAACAAATTGAAATAAGATTTATTCTTTGTATACATCCTTCATTGTTCTAATGTGACTAAATATTTTTCTTGTTGTTGATTTAACAAGATAAAAAAACAAACTTGATATGTAATCTGGTTGAATAAGAATTATCCATTGTAAATTCTGCATTTCTGTACCTCTCTAAATGTTATCCAATGTTCTCTAATGCTGCATCTGCATTATCATCTTTTGGGTTAAGAACATTATAGGAAAATAAATATTACACTCACTTTAACATGATGCAGGTGATGTTAAAGTGTATGCAAGAGCTCAAAGCCTTGTTGGAAATTTAAATTGTAAAAACTTGACCCCCTTCAGTTCACATATGATGACAGGGAAGGCGGGGAGCAGAAGGCTGTTGTAGCTGCTGAGTAAGAGGGTGTGAGCCTCTACTCAGACTGTGATTGGCAGGTATTGACCTGGCCAGCCGAGAGACGTCTATGTGGGAGCACTATTGATCATTACCACGGCAATAAAGGTCCTGGAAGCCTGTGAGAATGTCACAACTCGTCTCTGGACATGAGACACAAGCCCAACACAGCAACCTGCTTCTCAACCTCCTTCTCTTTGAGAGGCTGGTTCTCAAAGAGCAAAATGAAGATGGATTGGTGGCTATTAACTGAGAACGATTACTTTTGCTTGTCTTGAATCTGGCAGAACATATCTAAAAAGTTCAAAACCTGAGAACTTATCTATGGAGTTCCTGTTGTAGATGTTATAGTAGGATTGTTTTCGCAAAATATCAGGATTCAAGGTGAAGTGTTGGGAAGTTTGTTAGCAGTTGGGGATACCCACTCCAGCAGGATTTTGCTGTTAGGCTGGTGAAGATTCTCAGTCATCCAGGTCATGGTCATTTCAAAAAAAGTTTAAAAAACAATCCACTGTACTTTGTTTCCAAGTTTGAGGACGTTTCGCTTCCCATCCAGGAAGCTTTTTCAATTCTTTGAATTGAACTTTAAATTGAAAAAGCTTCCTGGATCTTCAAACTGGGAAACAAGTCCAGTGGATTGTTTTTTTAAACTTTTTTTTTAAAAGGACTTTGTTATCAAGAAAATGAAGCAGAACCAAAAGCTATTGGACTTGTATGCCTATGCAAAGCTTCATGCTATTGTGCTGTGAAAGTAAAGTATGTATGAATCAAGGAGTGTTCATCAAGTGTAAATGAAGCTTAAAAAAGGACAGAATACTTAGAAACTTTAATAGTGGCAGCTTGACAAGATTTTATTATTCAGTTTATTAAAAAATGTGAGAGATTACACAGTTTTCTGCCTCCATCTCTTCCGCTTAGGGCCAGTAGTGAAGGCCACACATCCCTCTGCTCCAGGAGATTAGAACCCAAAACATTCCCAAGTATGGTAGGAAATACAAAATCTCTATTCTAATTCCTGTCAGTCTTCCCTTGGTGTGGGATGTTGCTCTAAAGATGTCCAAGAGGGATCCAATACTGAACCAACTCAGCTAACATCTTTCACTGCAGAGGAGCAATGGCTCTACTCCAAGCACCCGCTGGGTGGCAGAGCTACGTTTTATTCATAGCCACTATAGGGAGGAACTAAGCTTATTTCAGCCTCTTGAAAAATGTGATCTAAGATATTCCTTAGCTTTACGTTGCATGTGTTATGTTTTCTGTTCTCTAGTGTTCAGGTTTGTTCAGGTTTCTGGTAGCTTCATGTTTGATCTTTACATTCATTAACATTTTCAAAATAGTCACACTTGTATGAAAAAGGTACACACCACAAGCCCTCCAAAACTTATTCCCAGAGGTCTTATCCAAAGGGAATTTACCTGAAAAAAACCCAAAGGTAAAACCCAGGATGTATCCTGATCTAATGTCTGCAGCCTAAAACTTTTTCAAATGGCTCCTCTTGTGACTTTACTTTTTAAATCACCTGCTACTTCAGCTTGGTTAACCACAGCAGAAGTGTCTGGCTGTCTGTCAACAAGGCCCCAGTCTATCTGTCTATCTATCTCCTGCTCTCTGCTACCAACCTGGAAAAAAGGGAAAAGAAAGTTAAAATAAATCCAGGACAAAAGATTTAATGTATAATCTGTTTTTTTTTAAGTTGTTTCAGAAACAAATTCAAGCAAAACCACTCTTCACTTCAACATAGATGAGTTTTTGCCCTTTCTCACCAATGTTTTTCCTACAATCTGTTCAAGACAATGAAATTTTTCTTTTTGTCCTTGCCCGGCTATGCTGCCCCTCTGTCCTTCGTTCACACACCCCCTCACACAAATGCCGTCTCCACCCTTGACCTCGCAGTGAAAAGTTAGCACACCGGAGGCTGAACTCTCCCAGATGAGCCGCAGCAACGGATGCTGGGAAAATCACCCAGGACACGCTCACACTTGGGCTACGTGTCTCTGTACGAACGTGGCAACACTTGGGGTGCCATGAATAGGGGAGATTTGACCCTCCGCCCTTGTGACCTGTCCAACCAAATGAGCACCTTTAACCCAAGTCCACTATTGTCACCAATGAATGCTGCCGTTTGTTCACGGATGCCTGGAAAAAACGTTCAAAATTCATTATGGACCACTTTGCTTATTATTGTTCAACAACACTTTTCTTTTCTTCAGGCCTTTATTCTGAACTCTTTCCATCAGTTACATTCCCATCCCTCCCCTTTCTGAGAGTGGACCCTGTCTCCCCTAGACTTATGATCCTAAATATTCACTTTTGTACAGATTGAGTACCGGCACTAAAACACTTAACTTTACTAAAACTTAAGTGTTCATTATGTCTTTAAAAAAAAAAGCTAGTGTTATTTCCCCCCCTCCTTTGAAATGGTTTCCTTTAAGGTGTTTAGGAATATTTTTACTACTCTGAAGCTCAGAAAAGACACACAAAAAATCCATGTTTTTGAGTAGGTTGTTGCTAAATGGACTAGACTGCATGACATTTATGACTTTATTTTCTGGTTTTAATTATTTCCTTTTGAACAGTTTTCAAACTTTGGTTGCATTTCTCTATTAAGAATATATTTTACATGCAAAGAGTTAGTTTGATCTCTATGTATTAAAGAAGTTGGTCACCTGTATTAACCTTATAAAGTGTCTGGGTTTAAATGACTAAAGTATTTTACCTACTTACTCTATGTTTTAAATATCTTTTTTAGAAGTAAATTAAAAAGAATGTAATGTTTTTTTACAAAAGCTAGGCTGGTCATGAAAAACCTCAAGTGTCTGAAACCTTAACCTCATAATTATATCTTTATCATGCAGGGCCACGCGGCCTCTATGGCACGCAGTCAAGTTTTTGCATAAAGTTGCAGTTTGTTTGTTTTGGGAAAGGGGGACAGTTACGGAATTAAATAAAACATCTCCATTAAACCACTGAAACAATCAGTCTGTTGTCTTATTAGAGTTACCCACCTCTTTAAATTACAAAATAACACACTGTTATATTTTTATAGAATTGTGAATTACTTTCATTGTGTTTACATTCATGATTAACTCTGCAAATATGAAGAAAATGAACAGAATGACATTAAAAAACAAAAAAAAAAACTAAGCATACAAGGCCTCAGGATGATGTCAGATTTTGTTCATTTGGACCAACGCCGCCCCCTGCTGGTGGTTTGGTAAAACTGCTGAAGAAATTAAAACCCGCAAATTACAGGATCGGCACAGGATTATTATTTTGTTACAAATTATTAAAAAAGTACAATGTAAAATATATTTGATTATATAGAAGCTGAAGGCACGATAAATAAGCGATTAAATTGAAAATGTGTTAGTTTTAAACGCAACCAGAGCTGCAATCATTGAACTCCATGTTCTTTCAATCTCAATTATTAAACTGAAAATAACTTATATGTCTGCTAATTGGCTTAATCGTGATGTTTTAAGATGTCTCCTTACAGCGGAAGTAGTAAACCCAGCCAAGTTTGCATGACTTCACTGAGCGATAGGAAAAAGTAGGTGGTTGATTATTTGGGAAAGCCCTCTTTTTCTTGGACTGCTGACGCGTACAAGAGTCTACGCGCTGCCCTGAAGAGAAGCAGCTTTTTTCCGCCTCCACCATGTTATTTTCTGTTTTAGTCTTAGTAACACTGATTTCAAAGGCTGAGTGTTATTTTGCTGAGGAAAAGTTCCCGGAGGAGTCGAAGATGCAGCCTCCCACCGTGGTGATCGCGATCATAGCCAGGAACACCGCTCATTCCCTGCCTTACTACCTCGGAGCTTTGGAGAGGCTCAACTTCCCCAAAGACCGCATCTCTGTGTGGTTGGTTTCTCCTGCATGCTCTCGATTAGCTGCTTTATACCCTTCAAAAGGTCAAAATCCTTCAAACGCGTTGAGAAAAAGAGCAGTTTGCATTCAGCTCATCTTCCAGCTGACTGGATGATTTGAAATGAGCTCTGATTTCTTCCTGATGTTTTGGCTCATATTCAGTTTCTTTTTTTGGAAACTCTAAAATCATTAGTGGCTACATATGGGTGTGGTATTTATTTGCCCTATATTAAAGTAAATGTGCAGGAACAATGGCTGCAACTTAATGTCAGGTTTCAATAATAAGCATAAAGTAGTGCATGACTTTAAAATACAAGCAACCTAATTCATGTTTTGATAATCTTACAAATTGATTCAAAGTTTTCTTTCTAAGGAAAATTAGTTTATTGCATGGATTCATTGACTCAAATTCAATCCCTCACACTATTCTTGCAGCGACAGTGGAGAGGAAAAACTCACTTTAAACAGGAAGAAACCTCCTGGAGAACCAGGCTCAGTGTGAGCAGCCATCTGCTAATGCTGACTGGGGTTTAAGGAGAGAGAAAAAGAGATAGAAAAGGCAGCTGTAAAAGGTGGTCCTGTTCAGGAAACACAGTCAGGCAGATGAGCTCCAAGCCAGCTCCGATGTTAGAGGATGAATCACATCCAGCCAGTCACAGCCAGAGAAACAGGATTACACTGATTAGTGACTACATTGGGGTGTGGTATTTATTTGCCCTATATTAAAGTAAATGTACAGGAACAATGCCTGCAACTTTATGTCAGGTTTAAGTCATTAACTTGTATGTATTTAATTGAGGCTTTATGTAAAACCCCAACATAGTGCATGATTTTAAAAGACAAGCAACCCAGTGCCTGTTTTGTTAATCTTACAGGAAAGGAAAACGTCTGAAAAGTGTGGCATGTTCTTATTCTTAACCCCATTTGCTTCGAAGACATCAGATTAAGTTAAGGTTGCATTCAAGGGTCACCTAATTACTAAATAATGCCCTTCTATTTGTCAATTCCATTCAGTTTGTTTATATAGCACCAATTCACAACACATCATCTCAAGACACTTTACAATTAAACCAGATCATACAGTCAAATTGATTCGAAGTTTACTTTCTAAAGAAAACTAGTTGATTACATCGACTTATTGACTCGAAAGCAATCGCTTACACTATTCTTGCAGCAACTGCGGAGAGGAAGTCAGCATCAGCAGGTCATCTGCCGAGGCCGACTGGGGTTTAAGGAGACAGAAGCAGAGATACAAAAAGCAACTGTAAACACAGTTAACACACAGCCAGGCAGACGAGCTCCGAGCCAACTCCCATGTCAGAGGATGAAGAGAGCACATCCAGCCAGCCAGTCTCAGTCAGAGAAACAGGACTACACTGAAAAACAGGCCGATCTCCAACATCTATAAACAAAGGTGTTGATGGCAGCAGCACAGCTGATGTTTCTCTCCAGGATAGAGTCACAGCCAAACAGGAACAGGAAGCTACAATTAGAAAAAGCAGAGAGAGCAGAATGTTAGAGATTGAACTAACAGATTCTGCAGCGTGGTAGAATAGAGACAGAATGAAGCAGAACGATAAAATAGGGGTCCCTATGTCCTCCAGCAGTCCAAGCCTATAGCAGCATAACTATAGAGATATGAGGCAGACAGGGTGTCTGCCTCATGAACTAAAACTGATAGTTGGTTCCACTAGGGGAGCCTGATAACTAAAAGATCTGCCTCCCCTTTCGTTTTTAGAAATTCTAGGAACCACTAGTGAACCAGCAGATTGAGAGCGAAGTGCTCTGTTAGGGACTTAAAAAACAATCATATCTCTGATGTAAGATGGAGCTTGGCTATTTATATGTGAGAAGGAGGATTTTCAATTCTATTCTTGATTTAACAGGAAGCCAATGAAGAGAAACCAGGATAGGAAAGATATGATCATTTTCATCAGAACTCTGGCTGCAGCATTTTGGATCAGCTGAAGGCTTTTAACTACAGTTAATGGACTTCCTGATAGTAAAGAATTACAATAGTCCAGCCTTGAAGTAACAAATGCATGGACTAGTTTCTCTAACCTGACTCCGCCAGATGGATTTGCTCCGCATATCCATCTGGAAACCTTCCGTTGAAGTAATTTTGGGAAGGGACGAAAATACTGGTTAGCTGATTGGTAATATCCCGTGATAGACGGGCCAAATAAACCAATCAGATCAACGAAGCATATGATGTAGTCACAGAGCGACAATGAAAACACAACCACAAGCCAGGCTAACTCTTGCCGAAACCAGTTGGGAGAAGAGCAAAAACATCTTTTCCTCTGAGAAAAGCCTCCAGAGCAGTGTCTTGCTCTTCTTTCAGTGAAGAAATACTCTGTAATTCCGATAAAACTTGCTCGATAGCCACGCTAACGCTAGTTTCATCGGCTGAAGCCGCCATGTTCTTTAGACTAAACTGTCGCGCTTCTCGTTGCGTCACACCTCAACCCGCCTCAAAGCCAACGCTGATTGGGCGTTTGTTTGGTGAACTGCTCCAAATTTTCTTTAACGGAAAGTAGCCAGACTGATCTGCGAGTGAAACCTTGAAAGCTCGCGAGATCAGGATGGTCTCACGAGGCTATAGTTTCTCAGCATCACCCCTGGACAGGATATTTCTACTTTTTGCAATATTCCCCAGATGAAAGAAGGAAATTCTAGAAACCTCTAGAAACCTCTTTAAATGACACGTGTGCTTAAAAATAACACCAAGATTTTTTTACTTTAGTATCTGAAATCGGTTTAATCCAATCCAAATGAAGTCACTGACTAATCAGCTTCTTTTTTAAAGATTCTGGTCCAAAGTCTATAACTTCTGTTATGTCTGCATTCAGGAGCAGCAAGTTAAGAGTCATTCAGGATTTTATGTATTCGAGACATGCCTGTAATCTATGTGATGGGTTAGCTTCATCTGGATTTATAGACAAATCTAGCTGGGTATCATCAGCATAACAGTGGAAATTAATCCCATGCTGTCTAATAATTCTACAGATTGGGAGCATATAAATATAAAGTAAAGAGAATTGGTCCTAGCACTGATGCCTGTGGTACTCCACAGGTAACCCTTGAGCAAGATTTGTCATTAAAGTGAACAAACTGAAATTGATCAGATAGATAAGATTTAAACCAGTCTGGTGCTGTTTCTCTAATTCCAACAAAATATTCAAGTCTTTCTAAAAGAACCTGTGATCAGCTGTTTCAAATGCAGCACTGAGATCTAACAGGACTAGTACAGATACAAATCCATTATCTGAGGCCATGCAGATATTAGCAACCTTCACCAGAGCTGTTTCAGTGCTATGATGAGCTCTAAAGCCAGACTGAAACTCTTCAAAAAGTTAATTATGGTGTAAGTGGTTGCAGACTTGTTTGGCAACTACTTTCTCAAGAATTTTGGAGAAGAAAGGAAGATTGTATATAGGTCTATAATAGGTCATTTAATTTAACTAGGGTATTATTGGTCCATTTTCTCAGTAGGTGGGAATTACGGTAAGAGATCTCAAAGATGTTCGCATTCTAGTTTCTCACCTCTGGTCGCTCCTATTCCTTATTGTGTGTGCATGGCCACCAATGTTCCTGTTCCAACAGTTAGAAGAATAACAATAAAAACACTGTTTCATGCTACGTGTGTATGCCAATAAAACAAAAAAATCCTGAAATATGTGGAAGAGATGGCTCTAGTCAAATAAGACCAAACTTATTTGATGTCTATCCAAAATGTGAGGTTCGCTGGAAAAGTAACACTGTACAGAGATCAAGATGTGGAGGTTCTCTTTAAGGATGATAAGGATGTATAGGATCAGAGTTGAGTACATTAAAGGGTCCACTAGGGTTTGATGTTTTGGAGATAAAGCCAGAGACCAAAATGAGAGTTTGGAAATGTTCAAAGGAGAGTACATCAGTAGAAGGATGTTGAGGCTGGAACTGCCAGGCAGAAGGCCTAGAGGAAGAGGGAGACTAATAAGATTTATGGATGGAATTAAGTAGGACATGACTGTGGATGATGTGACTGAAAAAAACACAGACGCTGGAGTCAGACAGAGACAGATGGCTCTGTGGCAACTTCTCCTAAAAGGGAAAAGAAGAAGAAAAAAACAAATCTCAGCTTCTCTCAGTTCACAGCTAGGTGCTATTTTGTTTGAATTATCACATAAAAACCCCCAAAAATACAGAATAATTGGTGATTGCATTAAAGCCAAATCTAAAAAGGTTAAAACAACTTCTATACCTTAGTGAAACTCAATGTATTGATTGTTGAGTTTTGTACACACATGAGCAGTGTCTCTTTATCATGCTCTTTTTTGCAGTATAAAAAATTAGCTGTACTGAAATTCTTGGGGTTTGATAACTTTGAATAAAACATAAAGAATATCACGGAATTTAGCACAATTTAAAACAAATATAAAATTATAAAATTTCTTTCAAACAACAAAGTCCCAGCTTCTGCTGTAGTGTTTAAGATGGTCAAACAGTTTGACACTTGTATCTAGAACTTTTTTTTCTTGCTTTTAGAAATTTAAGCTCAAATAGACTGTATTTTTGTGGTTGTGGTCTTAAGGTGTGTAGTATTAAGACCGTTTGCCCCTCTATTTTTTTTTTTTACAGAGCAATACCTAAAAGTATCAAGTTGACATTATGGGTTATTTATGGGACTATCTGTTTAAGTATCTAGTCAAGCATATAGTTTTAATACATTTAGTTTCTACTCCATGTTTGATTCTGTGTTCTGTGACTAAAAAATCCCTCCAAACATCCAAAACTATTTTCTCATGTAATTAATGAAAGACTGTTATAGCCTTTTTCTATGCAATCTGATCAGCAATATATAGCAACAGGTGGGGGAGGGCCAGTAAAGAGAAAACCTAACCCTCCCTTGCAATTACTCTTTAAAGAGTTTAAATAGTTGAAATTTTAAATGTTTTAAATCCATAACTTTTGAGACTTTGATGTGCTGTAACATGGGAAACCATTCATTAACTACCCAACAGTTAACTGTTAACCAAAATTTAGAGTTTATAAATATTTTCAAGATTACTTACAGAGCAGAGATAAAAATGCTCATTACTAAAATATATAGACAGAAACATAATCCTACAGGCAATAAACCAAAGTATGAAACATTCCAAATTATGGGGGATCTCTAATAAAAATCTTGTATTGCACCAGAGAAGCTTTCCACATTAAATTGATCAGGCGTATAATTTCTAATGGGGAGTTTTTGCTATAAATTATTTGCCCTCATTAAGGGACCGGCCTGGAAAAAAAGAGCCTCTATATTAATGGTTCTTATTCGCTTCTCCGCCCAGAGGTGGTGGAATGGAGTAAATTATTTTTATAGCTTATAACAAATGTGGCTGCTAATCTGTTCTTCATACATTCTTAAAGTTCTTTTCAGATCAGTTCTAAATTTCTATTTTCTCCTACCAGGGCGGCCACAGATCACAACTCGGACAACACCACAGCCATGCTGAGAGAGTGGCTTACTGTCATGCAGAGCTTTTACCATTATGTTGAGTGGAGGCCAATGGAACAGCCAACGTAAGTCCAGATTTATCAGGATGTTAAATCAATTCAAAAGATACAGTATTGATCCCAAATCGAAAGTAAATAAACTTCCTGCTAGACTGTGATCTAAGAAAACTAATGATTGCAGTTTGGTAGCTGTAAACATGAATAAAAAAAGGACAGAACTGAAAAACCTTTATTGTTCCACAGTGGTATAAAGAAGTAGTTAAAAGAAAATTACGTACAAGACTAAATTATATGTGAAAGACTGAAAGTTAAACTATATAGCAGAAATGAAAAAGAAAAAAATTATAGAGCAGTTATTTATTTAAAAAAAGGGTATTTTAGGTAAGAATAATACATATAGTTAAAAAGAAAAGAAAAAAAGTAGGAGTTTAATTACAGAAAGGTGGGATAAGAATCATTGTAGAGAAAAAAACTGCTTCAGAGCAGGTACAAAACTGGGCAAATACTTGTTAATATCTGTACAGATAAAGGCATTGATGTACAAAATACAAATTTGAGCAGATTAGGGACACAGCAGATGATGGTACGCATGAGAGAGAGAAAAATAACCAATGTAATTGCATGGTTTTAAACACTTGTTGGCCCCATTTGGAGCATTAAATGTTTTAAAAATGTCTCGTGCAAGGTAGGAGACATTTTCCAAAAGCGATATTATTCATTTTACAGTACAGTCCTTTTGTCTCCCACCACCTATGCTGTATCCAGGGGGCATCCTATCACAGGGCCCGTATTTAGCTCATCCCAGCGCTTCTTCTCAGTAGCATATAAACTGGTTCTCCAATACGCCACCCTAAAATTAGGGCTGATGCCACCATAGAGTCAAATAAAGTCTTTAGAAATGTCTCATGCACTTCAGATCTTCTCAGCGGGTACAGTCTGCGCTGACCCTCCCTTAAAAGAGCATCAGTGTTACTCCTGTCCAGTTTATGATCAAGATGAACACTCAATGACGTATAATTTTTCCAAAATCTCGACATCAATTGCATTAGTGCTCACTAGCGTCAGTGTGGTGGGTCTGCAGCTCCAGCAATCCACCAGCAGCTAATTAGATTACCCTGAATGTACCTTTAGACGTACCTTATACATGAACAGCCAGGGCAATTGATGCATGAGTCTGCTATGTAGATTGAATAGGAGAGGTGCTAACACAGCTCCCTGCAGCACACCCATGCTGCAGATCAACGTTTCAGACACACTGCTCACTCCTGACTGTTCCAGCTGCTCCATCAAAAGTCCTGGTGGTTTGGTAATAAAAGCACTGGAAATAATCCTCACCGTGCTCCCAGGCTTCTTCAGGTGGGCCTGAGCTCGGTGCAGCAGGTAGAGGCTGTAGGCAACCTGCAGTGGATCCAATAAAGACCTCAGCACGGGCTAAAGATGGTTGGAAACCAGCTTTTCTACATGCCTAAATGCACTGAGTTGCTGCCATGTGATTGGCTGATTGGAAATGTGCATTAACGGGCAGCTTAACAGGTATACCTGATAAAGTGGCCAGTGATTATAGATTTGAAAGAAAAATTTTTTTAAAGAAGAGACAAGCGTGTTTTTTTTCTTCATTATCCTCAAGGTACATTAAATATTTACATAGTAATCAAAATAAAAATACATTTCCCCTTGCGTGAACAAAGTAATGCAATGGTAATGAGCAGCATTCAATGAAGGAGCCTCATTTTCTTCTGTTTATTTTTGCAGCAACATTTCATTTAAGTTTGCTGAAAGTCTTTCGAAGGTTTTCTCTGTTCTGATTGTTCATGACGTTTCTGCTGTGAAAAATTGCTCATAAATCCATCCAGAATGATTCTGTATAAAAATATTTACTCAAAGCGCACGTCTTTAAGGTGCATTTAATCAAATGTTTTGAGGAATGTGTGGGTTTGTATTTTAACAGGTGTCTTTAACATATACACGGTTTAGAGAAAACCCTTTAACACTAAAAAAGGTAACATCACAAAAAGCTGAAATTATTGTCATGAACGTTTCACATTTTCTTTGTTCAGATTTTAAAAAAGATGAACAAATTGGGGGTTGTTAAGATTGGTTTGTTAAGACCTCTTATACAATTTGATTTGTACTGGAAATACATGCAGCTTTCAGGATCTCTCAGTCTAACTCAGTTATAGACTAACAGGACTCTCAGAGAGCGTATCTTCCTCCAAGGCCCATGTATTGTTCCTATTTAAAGAAGAGAAACTCTCTACTACAAGATGTAATAATTTCCAGTTTGTGCATCAGCTTACTGTTACACCAAAATCAAAATGTGTCTTCTGATGACATCTTTCTCTTTTCTAGGTCTTATGTGGGAGAGCTGGGTCCAAAGCACTGGCCCAACAGTAGATATGAGTATGTGATGAAGCTGAAGCAGGCAGCTCTGAACTTTGCCAGAAAGCGTTGGGCCGACTACATACTGGTATGTTTTACAATCTTCAGTTAAAGATTCTAACTTCCTTTAAATCGTCCTGCTTCATTTGTTTATATTCAGGTGGTTTTTAAGCCATTAAAAGTTTATTTGATTTACTTATTCTTTGTTTTCTCTGTGGCTTATCTGTCAGTATGCTGATACTGACAACATCCTCACCAACCCAGAAACCCTCAACCTGCTGATTGCAGAGAACAAGTCAGTCATCGCCCCTATGTTAGATTCCCAGGGAGCATACTCCAACTTTTGGTGTGGAATCACACCACAGGTGAGGAGAAGCTGACGAAAATGTATATTTCCTCACTGCGGACTTATGATCTAAGAACAGTCACCATCAGTGCTCATTTTTCACTGCAGGTTATTTTTAATGTTTATTTCAGGGGTATTATCGCCGAACGGCAGAGTACTTCCCAACACGTTACCGTCACAGACATGGCTGCTTCCCCGTGCCGATGGTCCACAGCACGCTGCTGCTGGATCTGCGGAAGGAAGACATGAAGAAACTGGCTTTCTACCCTCCTCATAAAGATTATTCATGGCCCTATGATGACATCATTGTTTTTGCCTTCTCCTGCCGTGCTGCAGGTTTTTAAACTCAATACAGACTAAATGTTTATTTTGGCTGTTTACCAACAGTCATTCGCCATAAGTGGTTGAAGTGGAGGCTTTTTGAAATGAAGAGAAAAAGCTCATGTCTATAATTTATTTAATGCAGCTGTTAGAGTAAAACAAGCAGCTTCATTAATATCTTATTGTGATGTGGGAATCACATTTTTTCATCACAGGCGACCAAATTGTTTGTCTAATTCCGTAAGACTTGTTTATTATGTTTTTATACTCTTGGACAAAAGATAAAAAAAAGAAATGAAGCCCATAACATTCTGAATGTTGCTTTTTGCTTGTGTAGAGATACAGATGTATGTGTGCAACAAGGAGCGCTATGGCTACCTGAACGTTCCGGCCAAACCTTATTTCACACTGGAGGACGATCAGCTAAACTTTGTCCACGTCCACCTGGAGTCACTGAGTAAGAAACCAAGCATCAGACTGTAAAACATCTGAAAAATGACTTACATTACTGAAATCTAATCAACCAAACCTGTATTATTATGCTGCTTTTCCTCTTCTAATTCAAATCTGGTTTCTGTTCTAAAGTTGATGGGCCTGCCATGTATCCCTCGCGGTATGTTCACATGTTCCCGAAGCAGAGAGACCTGATGGGATTTGATGAGGTATGTGGTTAAAAATTTTTTTCTTTTCTGTTAAAAAAATAATAATATGTGTAAAACTTTTGTTTTTTAATGGAAAAAGAAATAAATGTAATTTATCATGAAGGAAAATACATTATAACCTAATGGAATCATAGTTTTGGGATAGAGGAGGCGTGCTTTTAAGCTGCAGTCTTTCTCCAGATCTATCTGATTAACCTGCGACGCCGACCTGACCGCAGAGACAGGATGTTGTACTCCCTGAATGAGCTGGAGGTTGACGTCAAAGTGGTGGATGCTGTGGATGGAAAGTAAGCACATTCAGGGTCCTGACAGATATCCATTGATGCAGTTCCTTAAGTGTCTCAGTCAAAAAGCAAAAAACAAAGCTCTGAACAGAAAATGTTTGAACCGTTGGTACTAGCACCCTCAATTTATTCATTTTAATGCAGCGTTAATGGCACCTTATGTGACAAAGATCGCTGAATCCATTTTGTTTTTATTTTAAATGCAATATGTATTTGTTCATTACTTTCCTCTGTTACTTGTTGCGTATGTCTGCAGCGCACTGAACAGCAGTGACATTAAGTTCCTGGGTGTGGACCTTCTGCCAGGCTACTATGACCCTTTCTCTGGACGTACCCTGACCAAGGGAGAGGTGGGCTGCTTCCTCAGCCACTACTACATCTGGAAGGAGGTGAGAAAAGCCAGCCTCACATAATGGAGAGTTAACACTAGAGGGGTGCAACAGGTTTAATTATGAGAGATAGGAAATATCTTTTTCTTCCAATTTTTTTTTGTGTTGAATGGTAGATAAAAGTATATTGACATTAAAGAGTCATGCAGTTGTTACAGATTTATCTGCTGTACATTCAGAGGGTTGATCTCCTGTTTCACCATGTCTCAAACATGTTTTATGTTATTGAAATCTTTTGACTTTATAGGCACCGATGCTCAAATTTAAAGTCATTTAAATCCCCTTTCCTTTACAGTCTGATGCTCAGTTTGAACTTCAAACCATCTAATCCAGATGTCTAATTGACTTACATTGCTGCCATTTGAATGAATGATTCAATATTTGAGCAGCTCAAATGAACAGGTGTACATACTAAAGTGGCTGGTGTGTGTGAGAATATATATATTTTTTTGTCTCCATAAAAAAGATTCTCCCTTGGCACCGATTTAATAATTTTAATTATATATTATATTTTTATTAAAATATATATAATTTGCTTTGTAATTTTGTTTACTGTTTGCCTTATGCCTGTTTATGATTAATCTTGTAGATTTTATGAATATTTCAAATATCATATTATTTAAATAAGACACACAAATACACTTAAATATTTTTTCCCTATAAATAAGACATTTAGTAAATCTTGAAAGTGAAAGCAGTCTCACAAGCTCGTTACATTATGTTGACTTTATTTTTTTTTTCCTTTTTTCTTTAGGTTGTGGACATGCAGATGGATAAAGCTCTGATTTTTGAAGATGACGTTCGCTTCGAAGCAAACTTCAAGCGCAGAGTGCTCCGGCTAATGGAGGAGATAGAGCAGGTGGAGCTGGACTGGGACATAATGTAAGAAGTTTCTTATCCTCTTGGTTCTGGTTTTGGTAAGGGGTGGGAGGAAATAAGGAAATGCACAACTGGTTGCTTCAAGTTGATAAAAGGGATGGTGTTAAAACACCACATATATACTTATTGAACTATTTAAAACTTCTCTGTGTGAATTCCTTCCTGTGTGTCTGACTATTAATGGATTTTTGTGTTGCGTACAACTCAAAGACAGCTTGTTTTAATTTGAAATGTACTGAGAACTTTAAAAATTAATCACACATGGTTTTAAAGCAGTTTGAAAGTAAATGTTTGCAGAAGGATAGATCAGAATAGGTACTGAAGAATTAAATCCAATGTCTTTCACTTTCTTTTAATTCTCCCATGTTTAGATTTTTTTTCCTTTTTCAGTTTTTTCCTGGTTTAATTTTTCCACAGATACCTTGGCAGGAAGCAGGTGAATCCTGGGAAGGAGGAGGCGGTGGAGAATGTTAGGAACCTGGTGGTGGCAGACTATTCGTACTGGACTCTGTCCTATGCCATCTCTCAGCAGGGAGCCCAAAAGCTGCTCAATGCTGAGCCGCTCTCTAAGATGCTCCCCGTTGACGAATTCCTTCCCATTATGTATGACAAACATCCCAAGTAAGTATATTTTACTGTTTATTTTCTGATGTATTTTCTCTCATAAATACACCGGTACTTCAATTCCTTGTAAAGATATCGGTGGCATTTCAGCATTTCATTGTCTTTTGATTAGGATTTTATGTAAGAGCAACACAAATCAGCACATGATGGGCATAAAAATGAAAGGCTGCATGGTTAAAGAGTTATTTTTTTCAAATAAGTCTACAGTTCCTTTGTATGCAGCCATGATTACCACCACTGTGCATTATTAGTTTTCCCTACACATACCTTTTGCATGCAAGACAAAAATAATTCACTTTGGTCTGATCTTAATAAAGCAACTTCTTTTAATATTTCTTTCTTTTTCACCCATTTGCCACTCTTGTGTAGAAATAAGATTTACTGAAGGTACAGCTAAATGCTTTTAGTTCTCTGATATTCTCTGACAAATCAGTGCGTACTTTGCCGACCATCAGTTTGTTTGTACTAAGTTTACACAAAAAACTCTACAAAATAAATTTGTGAAGGCAGTCAGTTGCACTGGGTTTCATGAGAGGGAATCGGAGCAAAGAGGGTTGATTTAAAATGCACAGTTGAGACTTTAATTTCCTTTCAAATCAGGAATATCACTATCCTTTTCCCTTAACTTCACAATTCAACCTGGAGAGACTCACACAGAGAAAAGCTGCTATTAGTAAATGATTTTCAATTTATTTATGAAGGTAACTCAATCACATTCTTCGAAAATTTTCTATCGAGCTGATCGCGAGGACTTACTCTCTGCAACCCCTGCACTGAGCATGCATGTAGCGACAGTGGAGAGAAAAACTCCCTTTTAACAGGGAGAAACCTCCAGCAGAACCAGGCTCAGTGTGAGCAGCCATCTGCCGAGGCCGACTGGGGTTCAAGGAGATGGAAGCAGATATTGACAAATATCTGCTTCCATCATATCGTCTTATGCTCTGATCAGCTGCAGAAGACTTTGACGCTGTGAATAAACATTTGATTGGATAAGTAACCTAAAAAAGGATTAGAGGAGCCTTTCCTTTGGCCTGGACACTGGCGGTAGAATAAGCCAGAGGATAAGTGGGACTGAGAATAGTTTGAGAGTGAGGGAGGAGAAGGGGTGGAGGTGGGTGACAGTTTGCTTGCGTGCGGGAGAGAGAAGCTGGTTCAGGAGCTAAATGAAGGGGAACTCTCAGATGATTGGCTTCGGAAAAGGTGCAGCCCGCGAGTTGATTGGCTGGAGCTGAACAAGGGACAGCACAGGTGGTTAAGGTGTAGCTGATAAGTCATCCAGATTGAAGTTTCGTTAAGCTTTATATTATACCATGTTTTTGGTGTATAACTCAAAATCACTCAAGAATATATTGCTGTTTCCAGTTAGAATGTGATCAAATGTGAAAGAAAAAAAGTTGCAGATGGATGAAAATTATGACCCCATTCTGTGGCTTCAATAATACAAAAAAAATGGGCTCTATGATCCTTTTTTACCCAAGCCTTGCAAAACTAAACTCAGTTCACACAATTGTTAAACATCTTTCTGCAAGCTGTATGTTAAATATAATCACAGTAATATGCAACTTTAGTCCTTCTGGAGATGTTTCTTTTTATGATGCTCACATTTATAGACAGCAGCCCTCCATAGATCTGATTTTTCCATTTGTTTTTATAGCTTTTTTTCTTTGCAAAAGTTCAAAGCTTCTGAATAAAGCCAGTTCCTTAAAGAGAAAATATCTCCATCATCAGATGGTGACTACAAAAATAGAAATACATTTCAATGCTGCAGGATCTGCAGACCAGGCTATTACAGGGCTGCATGCATGTGCTCCATAGTGTGTGAAAACCTGGCGTACAGCCAGCTATCTTACTCTGTTCTCTAACCTCTAAGAGGCTCATTTGATATGCTTGACTGCTCCAGTAAGATTACACAGTATCTGCACCCCACGCTCTGGTCCTTCTGTCCGCCCTTCATGCTCATAGTAAAGTAGTGGCATTTAAAGCCAGAGGTTTTAGACTAAATTGCAGCCTATTTATTTCTCTCTGAGGGTTAAAATAAGACTAAATATTTGTGGAGAGAAAAAAAAAAGAATCTGTTTAAATGTATGCCTTTCTTCTCCACACAGTGAAGACTACAAATCCCACTTCCCAAACAGAAACCTGCAAGCCTTTAGCACGCGCCCTCTTCTGGTGCAGCCGTGTCACTACGCCGGTGATCCTCAGTGGGTGAGCGACACAGAGACCTCCACTCTGTGGGATGATGACTCTGTAAGGACTGATTGGAGGGGCTCCCATAAAACACTAAAGGGGGCTGCGCCACCACCTGAGATGCTCTCAGCTTCTTACAGGGACGAACTCTAGTGCGAGGAGGCTGTGGGGTCAGAGAGACAGACCCTGAAAGGACAACTTAATGACAGATTTCCTTTCATTCCAGTGAGTTCGATGTTTCAGGCAGGCTCAGTTTCCTTTGAGCTGGACATTTGGAGTTCCCATTCATGTTGGAGGTGTGTGGTGCTTGATAGATGATCTTTTTGGTTATTTATTGAGGCTCTTTGTAGCAATACGCTATAAAGTTATGCAGAAACTTGCACAACATGTGTTCCTCAATCATTTATGTGATTTTTTTATTTTAAGTTTTTTGTTTGTTTATTAGCTTTTGTTTACAGATTTATTGTTTTCTCTTTAGCATGCGTGTTATACATCATATGTTTGATGTATGATGGTGGTGATTGTACCTGAGCTCAAAGCTTTTGGGGGATTTCATCTCTAAGTCTTTGGAAAAGTCAGCTGATAACCATATCCTTTTAGTATAAAATGTCTGCATAAAAATTTTTCAGTTATGCTCTCTTCCACTGTGGGAGTGTGACAGAGTGAACTGCAGCTGCGACAAAGCTCTGATTCTCAATGTTTCTACAGCAATGACAGTTTCAAATCTTCGACATGTGATGGTTTAGCAGTTTCATAAGGTGTTCAGGATTGTGTTCATCAAACTATGTATTTTTACTCAGAAAACTGAATGTTACATTAGATTAGATTAGATTCAACTTTATTGTCATTACACATGTACAGGTACAAGGCCACGAAAAGCAGTTTAGGTCTAACCAGAAGTGCAAAAGCAGCAAGTGCAGGATAAATAATGGTTCCTTAAATACACGACATGGGTATTTCTACTGAATGAGTATAGAGATGAATACTATTATAAATAATGAATACATGAGACAGTCTTAAAGCATTTCTTTAAACAAGTAATGATTGGATTGAGCTCTGTGTTGTTGTAAGGATAAAAAAATTTTTCCAGGCAGATTAAATTCTGCTAAATGGTTTGTTTTTAATCATTGATTATTAGAAATGCATTTAGTTTTTTTTAATTTTTGCAAACAAGCAAAATATTTATTGATAACATCTTTTTTTAATGTGGAAAATGCAATCTGCTAAAGAGAAAAAAATATTTTTCAAATAAATATGTTACAATTATATTGTGTAAACACATCCAATTCAAGATAAGGCAGTCAGGTTTTTCTAAATATAATTTATGCCAAAACAAATTTAATTCACATTGACGTGAAGCATGGAAGGTGTATGTTATTAGTTTTTATGTTTAATGTTAAAATTTCTTTTATTTTTAAAAACTTTTGACATAAGGAATTGCATCAAACTTCTGATAGAAATTAAGATCTGTTTGAGTTATAAAGATTAGGTTTGACTTTTACTTTCATAAGTTTTTTGATGAGCTATTTTTGTTCATTACTTTTTTTTTATTATGCATGTTTTAACTTATGAGCCTTTGATGATGTGCCTTACTGATGAGTGACACACTTATCCTTCAGGAGTTTTCCTTTATTTGTGTTATACAGTAGAATACGATAGATGGGACATTTTTTATTTTGAAATGACAAAAAGGCCAAAAATGTTTATAATAAAATTAGACTTTCTAATTAATATAAATGAAGTTTGTCTCTATTGTTTAACTATCCATGCTGTACAGACCAATATTTTCCACAAGAGGTCAATATTTCTCACATTTTGTGATTACTTGTAGAGTATTGTCACCACTTAACCTTAATTAATTAAATTACAGGATTTTTTAATAGATATTTTTTGTCAAACAACTCATAAAGTCTAATATGGTGTATTTTATAGGGATAATGGTATGAGGTAAAAGAAACAAAAAAAAACCCTCCACATTCATAATTTTTCCCTTTGCTTTTTTTGTTCAGATGATTACCAAACATAAATTTGTCCAGTTTCTGAGACTTGGTCCACTGTGCTCCTCTACCTTGTTGCAGAATTAAGTTGAAGCCGATGAAGTCTGAGCAGTTATTATACCACATCAGACAAAAACAATTTCTCTGTAGTCCCATTATTAATAAAGTCGGATGAAACATTGCAAAATGACTCAAGTGTGCCCTGACCAATCTCAACTCAATCAAATCACACAGAAAGATTGGTTAAAGGTTTTCTGTCCAAATAAACTAATGCTGATTGCATCGAGTCATTGAAGATGTAGAAGTCCCTCCTTCTAGATGTGCATGTATGCTGTATACATGGTGCAAATTACTCTCTTTGGTCTTGCACAAAATGAACATAGAAGAACTGATCTATAAAAACTGTTCATTTCACAGAAGGTATTGGTAAACTAGTCTCAAACTGCTTAGCAGATGAGCGCTAACCATTTTTCAGGTCAAGGATGAAAGAGAACACATATAATTAGTTGCAGTAAATGTTGAGTTAATACCTATATGTAGAGGAGAAATGTGACTAAATATTAAAAATTATAGTCAACATTATCTTCTGTAAGTTGAAGTTGTTGATTGCAGCAGCCCAGCCACACCTCCCTGCAAGATGGAGTCACAGCTAAACAGAGCACCAGGCCAGATGTAACTACTTAGATGTGAAAAAGAAGAGAGAATATAAAGTTGAAGTAACAAATAATCCAAGCTGGAAAATTTATATAGAATGAATTAGAAAGATGTAAAATGGTCCCTATGTCCTCCAGAAGTCTAAGCCTATAGCAGCATAACTATAGATATAGTGCAGGATAACCTGAGCAACTCTAACTATAGCTCTATCAAAAAGGAAAGTTTTAAGCTTAGTCTTAAAAGTAGAAGGGTGTCTCCCTCATAGACTGAAACTGGTAGTTGGTTCCAAAGAAGAGGAGAACCTAAAGATTAACTGTCATGATGGGTTTCAGAAAAGCCCAGTATGCAGAACACCACGGAGACAGATGAAAAGTTTAACAAGTTTTATTAAGCACAAGCACATGGATTAAATACGGGAACTGGTTCAGGCCTGGGGGCAGGTTCACTGGAGTCTGTGAGGATGACAGTTCAGTTAGCTTGGGAACAGATGAGTTTGGATTTGAGAGTTTCAGGTTAATACCTTGAGGAGTCCGGGTTTGGCTTTGAGAGAGGAACTGTTGGGTCCAGAGACTGTTTAGTTCAGCAGACTTCAGTAACCGCTTCAGCGTCTTGCTTCTAGCGTGAGGGCAGACCTTGACTTTGGGTTTCCAGCTCTTAGTCCAGAGCAGCATGTGAATCCAGAGAAGAGTCTTCAGGTTTGGCTCAGAGGGCAGGCTCGGCAGGTTAAGCTCATCCAGAGCTTACAAGGGAACTGGATTCCTGTAAGCAGAGATAAAGAGGGATTAGAATCCAACCAGGGAACAGAAGCAACAAAGGTACTCAGGAGATGCTAGGCTCAGGTGCTAACCAAACTGGATAAACACTGGGGCGTTGAGGCATCTACTAACCATTAGTAAACCTGCAAACGGTGAGTGAAGTGGTCTGCTAGGAACATAAGGACCAATCAGATCTCTGATATAAGATGGAACTTGGTTATTTTGGGGCTTTATACATGAAAAAGAGCGTTATTTTCTAGATTTAATAGAGAGCCAATGAAGGGAAGATAAAAAAGAACACGCAGGATTTCTATAAAATTTTATCAGAACTTTATATTTTAGCTTTTCTGTTTGTCAAATGTTTTTTACTGGCCCTTCAGTTTTTCTTTGCTGCTTATTTAGCATTTTAGCAGAATTTTTTTTGCCTGAATTAAATAAAGAACAAGTAGACTTTAAAAAAAAATCTGTCATAAAGTTATGAAGCCACAGGTTTTCCTGTCATCGAACACCAGCCCCCTGCAAGAAGTACCACATATAAACCCTTCCCACTGCAGCCACATTCCCCATCTTAACAGAGACAGACCCACCTACAAACACCCTCAGACAAACACAATCACAAAAAAACACTCCTACTAACAATCAAACAGACCATTATTCATATAGACTGGACTTGTACCAGCTGCACTTTATGTTAATACCACACACTTCATCCCTATGCCAATATGTCATCCATATGTCTTTTCTAAGTCTGTTTCCTATCCTGTACAAGTACTTCTATTATTTATTCTAAGAGTTTTTCTTCTGAGCTATCTCTGAAGATGTTTTGCATTTTATGCTTTCTCCTCTAAGGGTGTTTTATATATATTCTAAAAAGTGCATTTTTTTTCTTCAAGTGTTTTTCATTTCAGTAAATTAGCTGCACAGTGGTGCAGTTTGTAGCACTGTTGCCTTGCAGCAAGAAGGCCCTGGGTTTGATTCTGGGATCTTTCTGCATGGAATTTGCATGTTCGCCACGTGAATGCATGGGTTCTCAATTCCTCCTAAAATCCAAAAACATGAATGTTGGATTAGTTGGGTTCTCTTGTCCTTAAGTTTCAGTGTGTGCACTTTGTATGTCTTTGCCTGTCCCAGTGTTGCCCTGCGATGGACAGGTGACCTGTCCAGGGTGTACCCTGCTTTCTGCCCATGCTGGAGCTAGGCACCAGCCCCACTGTGACTCAGATGGATGAAGCAGGAGAAGACGGATGGATGGATTTCTATTATGTGTGCATCCAAAGCAAGGAGTCTCTACAAAATTTCCTCACGGTTTCATGACAATATGGATTATTTATAAGTGTTGCCCAGGCGATTCAAACCATCACTCTTTTTGAAGATTGTTTGTTAACAATATTGTGATCTGTTCAAAATAAAAGTCAATTTTGACCTACACAGTGGTAAATAATTACTTTTTTTTTGTTGGGCAAATGGATGTTTCTCAAGTACTGACTTTATGTGATATTTTTTTCAGCTTAAAAAGGTAACTTATAGCAGATGTTGCCAACAACTCAGCTAATCCATACATGGAAAGGAATTAAGGCAAAGTAGAGGAAGTTAAGAGTATAAAAGTGGAGTAATACTTTGAATAAGCATGAAAACACTAACAGAAATATGTTAGATATTTTGTGGAGAAGCATCTGTGGTGGTGAAAGCTTGATTATCCTCCGTATAAAGAAACTAGCCGCATGCATTACTTGAAAGGGATTTTGACTTATTTTCCAAACAAGATGCAAATCTCAAAGGCTGCAGGGGTCCTTTGTGTGCAGAGATCCTCAATTCTTTCTATGGATTTTCCTTTGGGTGCAATGAGTCAGGTGACTAACTGGGTCATTTTAGCAGTTCAAAGTTAAGCTGCTACTTATCAGTAGTTTAAGTTTCATTAATATTAACAGAGAGAAAACTCAAAGCATTCCATTCTCCTTAAAAAAAAATCACTATCTTTCTAAATTTGTATCATGGTGACAGTCTGAAGAGTCAACCAAGGCTCGGTCTTAGTAAACACATAATCTGATCAAACCACAGCCTTCTGCACACATGCTAACCTCTCTGGGTCTTGTGACCCTATTTATCTTGGATCAGAAAGAAAACAGTAAAACTGAGGATCGCTTTTTGTAGCACATACATTTTTGCGCCTGTGCTTGTTACACAATCTTATTTGCTTCCACACAAACACCTGGCCGCATGTCAGACTGTAACAAATACGTATTTCAATTATTCAAGAGTCCAAAGGCTGCTGAAGCTCACTTTCTTAGATTAAGATTCAAAGCAGATCTTACACACCTATCCAGCAGATAAGGTTACAGGCAGCAGCAGCTTCCACATTCAGCTCCTGTCCTGCTCAAAGCTGTATAAACTAGACAGAACCTCCCGTCACAGGAGGGAACCTAAACTCAGAAACGTATTGGCTGCTGGTTAGGAGGTGTGGACTAATGAGGCCCAAACAGGCTGAGCCAGCAACTGCAAATGTCTCTAAGAGGAAGGAATAAGGTTTCATAATGTGGACTTACTAAAGGAATGCCAGGGCTTCTTTTCTTGATAACTTATATTCAAAGTTCTTATATATATTCCTGTGATATATGGAAACATAACATTTTCTTTGGTGCTTGATTTATTTTGTATAACTTTTTAAGAAAAGGTTAAACATGTCCTCTGTCACTAGTTGAACAACCTATTAGTGAAGAAACTGCAGCTCCAACACATAAACTGCTTCTGTTTTACTCAAAATGGTAAAACGGTTTTATTAAATTAAACTCATGTTCATCTTAATTTGATTTAGGTAGACTTGATGTCTATGATTAGGACCATAAACTCTAAATGAAATTTTTTCTTTTTCTATTCAGTTGAATCATCAGCATCTTCTGCATATGAAGAACTTTTGCAGCACATTTTAATACCAGAAATGTACAGAAAATCAACAAGAATTACAAACATGGGTGTCTAAAAGGGTGTTTAATTCAAAATAGGGGATTATAGTAGGACACTTGACTGCTCATACACAGTGTAATGTGATTTGCTATGGTGTACTTCTGCTACATTAGGTCTCTGGCCCTTAAGGGATATCACAAACAGCTGTTACCCTCACATGTAGGTTTACTAAAATATATATTTTCAAATCAAACAAGATAAAAAGCTTCCAAAATTAAAAACTAGTAGTTTCTATTACCTTTTTTTTTAATTATTGATTTAGTTATTTCTTTAAAATGACCAGTGTTTCATTGTTTATGACCATTTTTGTGATAAAAAACAGCATTTTTGACATGACAGATACCCAATAATTCATAATAGTGAGTTAAATTCAGATTTTCGTTATTTCTAAGACTAAGCTGCTGTGCATCTGATATAATATCGCAAGGAAAGCGGCTGACGTGTAGCCTTTTCAGTGCCAGCCCTCTCTTTACATGTGAAAAAAACAGTAGTAGTGAGTTGAGCAGCACAGTGGGCTGATCTGAACCACAGGGAGAGGAAGGAGGGAGCTGAAGGCAGGAACAGAGACGTAGCCAGAATTTTTTTTATAAGGGTGGCCAGGCAATGAACAATGTAAACTGAGGGGTGGCCAAAAGTTGATAGTTGATAAGATTAATGGGCACAACATCCATTTTTGTAAAGAAAGACTAACTATACTTTTCTACAACCTTTGCCAACAAATAGACACATAAATATTAAAACATCTGTGCTTTCTAGATAAAAGGTATAGTGGATACAATTCTTTGAGGTTTGAGTTTTTGGCGAACATCTTTTCCATTGTCATTACGTACCTACTTTATCAATAATCATTCAGCATATAATTGATATTTACAAGTATTAATATCTACATAAATTGATTATTTAATACATTTGATTAAAATAGCTATTTATCAATAATTTTACTGAAGACTCTTAGATGACTTGCAGAGATACAAAATTTTCGCTTTACCTCATGAAACACAAAATTTAGTTCTGAAAAAAAGCATGAATTCTGTACTTATCATATTTGATTTTAGTATATTGATGTGCATAATAAACCACAGTGGGGTTTTTTTTGTGCTTTGTTAAATGTTTTAAATATTCCTCTTGAGAGTATTACTTCTGCCAACTTCTGTATTAGAGGGGGAGCAAATGGTAAGGGTGGCCACAGTACTGCAGCATATCGCGGGTGTGAAGTAAACAAAAGGTCTGAGGAAATAAGAAAAGTGAAATTTGAGCTCAGAATAACAAAGGATCCCATCCCAGTCAAAAAAACCCAAACCAACAGTTCAGCACAGGGCAAATTCAAAACCTCTGGAGCAGCGTCCCAAAATGGCAGAAGATTCATTGATTGTAAAAAAAAGAAAGATTTTGTTCTTTTCATGGTAGAAGTGTTCAGACGACAAGAAAAAAGTAAAAAATAAAAATAATAGTGAAAGCTGCAGAAAAATATGGAGTGACAATAACTTGAAGATAAATTAGAAATTGTGAGGGCAAATGTGACTAAGTATTTATTAAATTGGGTTAAGCTAATCAGTTTGGAAATTACTATAATTTTCTTTTTTCTTTTTTTCTTTCTGGGGGTGATTCTTGTTTCCTGTTTCGTTGCTTGGCTCCTTACTAGTTGGTGGCAGTAATGGACTTTTAACTAGTTTGCCAACTGTCATAAAACCTCACAAGAAGAAGAAGGCCCAACCCAACCATTCATCACATGGCAAACTCTAAACCTCTGGAACAGCATCCCAACATTGAAGAAGACTCACTGATTGTTAAAAAGAAAGATTTTGTCCTTTTCATGGTTGAAGTGATTAATTGTTGTGCACAGATGACAAGAAAACCCAAAAACATCAAAATAATAGTGAAAGTTGTAGAAAAATATCTTGAAGTGAGAGATTTAAACTGGGAAATGGTGGAAAGCATGATGGGAAAACCAATAGGACCATCAGAAACTGGCAGAGTGACGATAACTTAAAGATAAATTAAAAATTATGAGGGCATATATGATTAAGTATTTATTATGTTGGGTTAAGCTAAACTTTTTTTTTTTCTGTCGTGATTTGTTTCCTGTTTCCCTGCTTTACTCCTTATCAGTTGGTGGCGGTAACTTTACACTAGTTTGCAAACCGCCATAAAACCTCACAAGAAGAAGAAGAAGAAAAAGGGGCGGCCACAGGGGTGGCGAATGATTGGCTAAGGGTGGGCACGGCCACCCCTGGCCCCCCATCTAGCTCCGCCCCTGGGCAGGAAATCAGCCGCTGTCCCGCTGCAGGCAGTCCTATCTGACAGCTGCGCTCCTCAGCCCACGCTGCGCCTCCTCTCTGCTGCTTCTTTGGGGAAAATATTCGGCCATTTTTCCCCCTCAGGATCCCTCCGCTCTCAACTTTTTATTTTTAACTCCCCTTTTTTGTCCTCGCATCGAGTGTTTTTTGTTTGGTTTTCCGGGGCTGTTCTTCGGAGTCGATCGTAAGTTTTCCATGCAGACCCAGAGCGCAGCAAACAGTCCCAATGTGGTGCATCTCGCTGCTGTTTTTGTTTGGACTCCTCGGTCTAATTGCCACGTTTCTGCAGCTGGTGATGTTTAGTAACACGCTGTTCCCGCTCGCATTGCTTCTGCTGTGTTTTGTCTGCATGTTTACTTAACATAACTTTAAAGTGTAAAGTTGCAACATATGTGGGTCAAACTTTTTTGCATCAGTCATTTGAAACTCAACCAAGTCGAGCATGCAGATTATCTCAGACTTTGGAAGATTTATTTTGTCAATTTGTGTCAACAAAAAGAAATTTCGTTTAAAACACCTCTAGACAATTTCATTTTTAAAAGTCCAGCCTTAAAAACATGAATAAATGCATAAAAAATAGTAATATAAACATATGACTATATATATATATATATATATATATATATATATATATATATATATATATATATATATTTTTTTTTTATTATTATTTTTATTTTATTTTTTTTACTTAACCCCTTAATTTGAGCAGGTAAAAAAGAAAAAGAGGTAAAAAATTATCCTTAAAATCAGATTATTTTTGTTATTATGCACTTGAAATAGGAGACTGCACCCCCCCTTATTTTAAATGTAAATTTCTTATTCCATTTGGAAAGTGTCTCACTTACCTGCTCAATTAAAGAAAAAATGCACTTATTTTAAGAAAAATTGACTTACTTAGATTTCAGTTTTTGCTGTGCACTCTTTGCTTGAAATGTTATTTAAAGTCTTTCATTGAGTGCCCTATAAAGACTTAAAGTGTTCCCCCTAATATTCCCTAAACATGTTGTGGTATTTGTATCCTGTGCTGTTAAATAAATGTTGTACTATTGGAGTTGTGCACAGGATGGGTTAATACTGGACCAGCCCAGTTCAGGGCACCTGATTCAGGATTGAATTGAACTCTGATAATGTCTGCCACCCTTCATATTTATCTTGAATTACAATTATTGCCCTGTGTTTTAGGGTCTCACAGTTTCAATCATTGGCTGTGATAACTTCACCCTCTCTGAGCTTCAGTGGCTCCATACAAGAATTGAGCTCAGATAGCTGTCAGTCTCACACAGGTATTTGCTGACTTGTGCAGGAGTTGACTGTCATGTTAATAACTCTTTCATGCTTCATTTTTGCACGCTATGAAATTCATGTCAGTGGACAGTGTTTATCAATCACACACAATAACTTTAACTCTTTTATTTCTAATTAAAATATTGAGTTCAAGTTACAAAAAGTAGTCTTCCTGCTAGAAGCAATAATTAGTATTTTCCAGGAGGCATTGAATGAAAACGTAACAGCATCATAATATTGATTTTAAATTGTGTTCGTATATTGATAATTATGTTATAACATTGAGTCTTATTTTTGGAAGAGTAATTCAAGCATCTAGAATAAATACCTGCTAAATTCAATTGTTTTAATAACAAATAAATACATTTTTGCTGAAAAGGAAACAGTATTGCTGTTCTCTCTAAGTAACAAGAAATGACCAAACTAAGGGATTGATGATGGGAACATTGCAAGGCTGATTCTTCTTGATGAGTCTGCAGCTTAACAGATGTGAAGCTCTAAGTTTGTCACCTGTAAGTAAGGCCTTATTTTAGCCAGCTTGGTGACAGTGTGCAGACAAGAGTCTGATTAAATGACTTTAAAGTATAGGAACAATGTGACAGAATGAATTTGTGGTTTACAGCCTGTTTACCTTGTTGAAAACTTGACCGTTCTTGGTTTTTGCAGCTCAAACTATCTATAAAAATAATTCATTTAGAAAATGGGTTTTTTAAAGCTCTTTGATTCTGGTCTATCATTTTCACAGAGGTGATGGCTTACCTTGGGACTGCAGTCCGGCGCCTGATATCAGCTGTGCGGCCCCCTCTGACTCCGCTATGTCGGGCAAGTTGTCGCTCGTATAGCACAGAGCACACCAGTGAAAAGAGCGTCCCTTATGAGAAGACACTGAAACAGGAGGAAGGATCCTCCTCAGGACCCACTAAGCCGTTACCAAGGTTAGCTTGAATGGAGAAAATAATGAAAAAAGGAATACATTTGTTAAAATAAGGCTTGAAACACAAAGTTTTGTTGTTAAATAGATATTTTTTTGTCTAAATATTTATTTTTAGATATTCATATAGTTTGTATCTGCTCTGGATAATTTGTCTTATAACAAATAAGTTACAAGGCTGATCCTTCTTGATGAGAGAGTAAAGTTTTAGGTGCAGCGTTGTTAATATTGTTGCTTCCTGTTCCCTCAGGTCAGCCGATGTGGTTGTGATCGGAGGAGGCAGTCTCGGCTGTCAGACCCTTTACCACCTGGCCAAAATGGGCTTGACTAATGTAGTTTTGCTGGAAAGAGACAGGCTGACTGCTGGCACCACCTGGCATACTGCAGGTAATGACAACAGACTCCCAGATTAAAGAGCTGATAGTAAGAGGTTTCCGTTGCCTCATACTACACTCCTGTGTTCAAAGCGAGCTGTGTTCAGTCACAAAACTGTACTCTGTCACTGTTTGTCAGCTAATCTGGCCGTCTGCCTTGTCAGGCCTGCTGTGGCAGCTCCGTCCCAGTGACGTGGAGGTGGAGCTCCTGGCCCACACCAGAAATGTGATTAGCAAAGACCTGGAAGAGGAGACAGGCCTCCATACTGGCTGGATCCAGAATGGAGGACTCTTCATCGCTTCCAACAAGCAGAGACTGGATGAATACAAGCGCCTCATGTCGGTACGGACAGTGATCGCTTCCTTTTCAGTTCTTGAATATCTTGAATTAAATCCATGAATGGATTTAATATTAGGTCCTTTTTGATATTATAAAGTTATAAAGTGTGTTTGGATTTGGTGTTTCCTCTTTAGATTTTTTTGAGTGATCAAATTCAAACATTCAGACAATCCAAAGAGGCAATTTCAACCCACACTGTCACCAAACAGCAGTATAAACAGATTGATGTCAGATGTAATAGGTTTCCATGGTAACTGGTATTATTGGGCAGGGAGTTTGTCTCATGACTGTTTATCCTCATCCTGAAATTACTTAATTCCAGATCCAAATAATTAAAAATACTTTTAGCGAAAATGCAAAATTTTTGCTAAAAAAGACCTTTTTTATGCCAAGTAATTAATTATACAAGCATTTTGCACATTCATGGTTGAAGTTGCTCAAACATGCAAGTAATTCTTATGTTTGTTACAATGCTGTTTATATAAATATTGCCATTTCACAACAATGTTTAAACAATATTTAGGTAGGATAGAATAGAAAATAAATATATTTTAACCCACAGCAGGAACATCCAGCTGTGTCAGTGGCAAAGTAGACAGACAAATGGAAGCAAACAGATTTATACATTACTAAAGAAATATATATATATATATATATATATATATATATATATATATATATATATATAAAAAAGAAGAAATTTATGATAGTCCAGGAGTCTGCAAGTGACTCCTTGGTCTTAACACCTTGGCTCTTGATGACTTTCAGTAAAAATGAAAAAAAAAAAAAGGTCAACTCATAGTTTGGAATACAAAGTGGATATAACAAATTCAGGTTTTTCTCGTGTATTTTTCAAGCAGATTGGTGTTAAAAACACCTGAAATATTTTTAAGATCTATTTTTTTTTTATTATTTGGCTTAGAATCAGTTTATTTATAAATAGAAAATTGTGGATAAAATATGCATCCTTAAAGTTAACCTTTTCTTTGTTTAGAGTAGATGTCATTTTAATAATCACTTTCCATTTTTAAAATGATCATGTAATAGCTGCGACCCTATGCAAGTTTTAGAGCCATTTATAAAAGGCTCTTTGGATCTTAAGGTTGCCAACCTCTGGCATACTCTAAAAGATAGAGGAAATAAACATGATACAGAAAAAAGGACCATCAAAATGGTATACTTAGATTAAATATAGTTTAGTCCATTTGCATTATATAATCCTAACTCTCTTTCGTTATTGTTGATCATTTAATAAAGATTGACAAAAAGTTATCCAGTTGTTTAATTTGCACCAATCCCTAGTCCCTAGCAACCTGTTGTTGGGGGATGATTTTTTAAGACAGAAAGAAAATGGTTTGAAGTAGTAAAGGTATTTCTTTAGGTGGAATTTGGTGTGACGTCACACACCATCTTTCTTTTTCGTTCTCCAGTCTCATACTTCCTAGACGAGCAACTGCATGCTTATACGTTCATGTCACTCATGGCTTAGACCCTCCCTGCCCAGAGGGGGCAGCAGGAGTTAGGAACAAAATGGCGGAGAGCTCTTTTAGCGGATTGAAAAAAATCACCTGAAGAGGATAATTTGCTGAAATTAAATAGTAGTTACTTCTTGACTAGATATGTTCCTCCCAAAACTGATGCTGTTTTGCTGTGTGTTTATCCTTCTCCTGATGGGAAAGGTGGGGTTGTAGCTGGAGTAGAGATGGAGAGATGCATAGCTTGTCACACACCTGGTTTTGGTCTACAGACAGCACTCAATAGCCCCACCTAGTGATAAAATGTAGCTTATTGCTGCTTTAATTGATGCACGCTCAACTGAGATTTGTTTGAGAATTCAATAAACATAGAGTTTGATTTTCCTGGTTTATATACAGATATAAGTGCACTCCGTATAATTGGCCCCAGCTTAGGGTTGACTGGCAGAGTCGGTCAGCATGTCTTTGTTTTTTGTTAACTTCAGTGTCAACAGCTCTATGGGTTCATCACTCATAAAGCGATAAGTTTTTGTCAAAAATGAATCGATATGTTTTTTGTAAAATTTCAAAATGATTTGAATACATCCTTTTTCCTGGACAATGACCCCATCGCTTTTTTCATTATCACTGTTTGTTCACATACTTTATATCACAGCAAAACCTTGAAATCAAAAGCAACAATGTCTCAGTAAACTGACATGTAGCTTAAAGCCATTTCTATTTGCTTTTCACAATCAGTCCTTGGGTTGTGCACAAATCAATGCATGATTTCAAAGCCTTGAATATAAGCCAATTGCCTTTTGTGTTCCAGTTGGGTAAAGTTTATGGCATCGAGTCCTACGTTTTGTCACCTGCGGAGACTAAGGATCTTTATCCACTGATGAACGTTGATGATCTGTACGGAACGCTGTATGTTCCCAAAGACGGCACCATGGATCCTGCAGGGACCTGTACCACTCTGAGCAGAGCAGCTTCAGCCAGAGGAGCCACGGTAATTTGTGCTGATCTACTAACTTCTTATTTTTCAGTTTTTAACAGTTTTGCACATAAAAAAAAAAAAATGGAATGCTATTGAAAATCTCTTGCAGTTTAGCAATGAAATTCTAAAAGTAAATACATAACCTTTTCAGTAACATTGTAATTTATGGAGACATAATTTATTATTTACAGATGTTTGAGAGCCATAAGCCGTATAAAATAAAGGATCAAACCATCGATACAACTGATTACATTATTACAATATCTTTATGACATTTCCTGGTTTAACTTTTTCGTCAGGATGGGAAACAAATGAATAAAGTAACACCCTTATCTTAAGATAATACAGCTTCTGCTACCTGTTATAATGGTCTCCTGATCTAATCATTAACATTTGTTTCCTACAGACATGAGAGTACATGGCATAAATGGACCAATACGTTTTCTATTAAATTATCATAGAAACCAAGGCTTTGCAGTTTCTGGCAGCAAATCATAAACCCTATCAAAATAAAAAAGTTTTCATTATAATTTCTTTTTCCGTTGCAGAGTCTCGTACAAAAGTATGACAGAACAATTAAGACAACAGCTAATTAATATTTGTTTTTGGACTGATATGAACTGAACAGTCTTAAATAGCCATGAAAAATGGGTGTCGGGTGTCTGGAGGTATTGCTTTAATACACTGGCCTGTCTGAATCAGGTGATCGAGAACTGCCCTGTGACCGGTATCCAAGTGCGAACAGATGACCTTGGGGTCAAGAGGGTTAAGGCGGTGGAGACGGCTCATGGGACCATTGAGACACCTTGTGTCGTCAACTGTGCAGGTAAGACTCAGAACAGTTTAACCCTCCTTATGACAGCTGAACCACTTTTTATGTTGCTTAGAAACATGTCAGCATCTGTAGACGATGGAGGTTTTGAGTTTTAAATTAAAAGGATGCAACATTATACTGTTTTTATGAATGAAAATGAAAGCATAAAAAAAATTATTTTGTTATGTTATTACTTGCAGGTGTGTGGGCAACCAAACTTGGTGAAATGGCTGGAGTCAATGTTCCTCTTATTGCAATGCATCACGCTTATGTAGTGACAGAGAGGATAGAGGGCATACAGGTAGGACTTCGAGTAATTATTGTTTCTTTTAGTAAATGATGCAAACATCAGTGTAAAAAAAGAGGCGTCGCTTTTTTAGATTTGATCCCCTTGATATGTTTAGACTTTGGGCCAGTCTCCGTTTCCTTTTTTTGTATAAAATACTGGATAAATACTTTCGTTAACCAATTATTTGATATATTTTTCATTGGAACTTCTTGCCTTCAGGTTTTCTAGACTGGTTTTAAACATCTCTTAGCTGTGCTGTTGTTCCCTCCTACAAACTAAAGCCCCTGAAGGGGTAACATGTTTTTTGGAGGCCTTTTCAATTTACTCATGTTCAAAATATTCTGCTTTTTTAGTTAAAGCGTTTTTAATGTTTAATCTGCATCTATATAGCAATGCTTTCAACCAGCGCTCCTATGAAAGGATTGCTTTCAGACTTTATTTTTTATCTAGAAAATAAACCCGAACATTAAAAAATAAAATAAACAAGAAAAAATACACAGTTGGTTTAGTTGGGTTTATTAATTAAACTCATTTACAAATCACAAAGGATCTGTGCACATCTTTTTCTTTGCCAGGTCTTAAGGTTTTAAACTGGATTTGTTGTCAAGTTCCTAAAAGAAGCATTGTTGCTTTTAATTATACGGTCATGATAAATTAAACTATAATTACTTAATAAAATAGTCCTTAAGTTAACAAATGATTTGGGAGTGTTTTTAGATTTAGGGGGGATCAATAAAAAAAAAGTGAAATTAACAGCGCTGCTGAATTTAAAACAACCTCTTTTATTTTACTTTAAAATTTTATGTTTTTTACTCTAACTCTGCTAATGTGTTACGCTTGAAAATCCTAAATGTTTAAAATCAAAAGTTTAACCTTTTGACCTGGAGATGTATGGAAGCCGGATGTGTATTTTTAAGTAACTTATATTTTAATTGTATGGGATGTAATTTCATATCTTCATCAAATATGCATAATGACATAAAGAGTGATCTATAAAATCGCCTTATTTTAAAAATTGGAAAAAAGTAATTTTGCTACTTGCTAACATAAATGTTATTTATTTTCTTTATGAACTTTTTGAACTCTTCATCTTTAACATTTTCTTTAGAGGTGGAAGTTTAACCTGTATCACTTCAAAATGAACACCAGGGGTCACTATGACAAAACAAATTACATCTCTTCCGGGCTGGTGGTGAGGTTTGTGTGGGGGAATTAAATTGAGGTTAATTTGTGTCTATTATTATGTGTGCTTGCACTGGCCGTGCTTCTGCAGCATCCATCAGTGTGTCACTGCAGTTTCAGGGCATCTTCACTTGCTTAATACAGCTTAGTTTTAAGGGTGGGCTATACAATTTTCCCTGTGTTACATAGTTTTAGAGAAGCTTACCAGAGTTGCCTCTCCATCTTGCATGCAGACGACAGCCCACACACCAAGCTTGGTCCTTGGGAAATCTGTTCCCAACAGAGTGTCTGACTTGACAGGTCAACTTCCCGCTGCCCATGTGTCTGTATTTGTCAATAAGAGGCTGCTGTGGTGGTCTGGGGATATTTTTATATCCGTGACTACACAAGTAATACAGTATTCTGTATCAATCACATGGAGCTTCCACACTGAGCTGAGTGCAGAGGAGGGAAAGGACAAAGGAGCAGTTCCAGTTTTGTTATTTGTCGTGATCAGGTTCTAAAATGTCAGCTTGCTCGCTGGTATTTTGGTTTTGTCCCCGGAAAGCTGATGGATTCCTGGAAGAAAAACATCATCATGAGTGAATGAATGCAGACCAGATCCGCTTTGACAGACAAAAAATTACAAAAAAAATCACTTAGGCAAGAAAATGTTTTGGAATGCAAAAGTGAAATGCATCTATTCAATTTCAGAATTTAATGTTTGTAGCTTTCAGTCGGATTGCAAAACAATTAAAAGGCTGATTTGCATTGTTTTACAAACAGAGAAAATTCACCTGAGCTTTCTGCTGAATTGCTCAACGAATGCAAGCATATTTGCTTTAATTCGGGATATGATTGACTGATTAACCTCATTGCATAATAGTCAGCATTCAGTGGATAAAATAAGGATAATAAAAAGTTGTTCTACTGCCTCATATATGTGCAGCTTTGCTTTAAATGTCCTATAATCCTGTGACGTATATTACACAGCTTTTTCTTCTGCGCTGAAACCTCCGCAAGCAAATCAGGCCAAACAACACGCATAGAAAGGAAGCCTTAATGAAGAAGCCAAGACAATTAATCTTTTGCTTGAATGTAATGGGGAAATATTCCTAGGTTATTAGAAGCATCCAAGATTTTTTAGATCTACAAAATAATTTGTACTATTTGCAACATGCATTTCAAGACAATCGCAAATGTGGAAAATGCAGTTGCAGGATTGCAGCTCAATACGAGAAAACTAGTAAAACATCAGAGACTCCAATATCACAAGGCTAGGAGTTGAGTTTATGAGCAAGTATGAAGTAATCAAACCTTTGATTATTAATCAACCATTTTTCATCTGATTTTTATTTTTTTTCCGCTCCTACCAGAATTGTTTACTGTATCTGGGCTCCTTACTGATACAGTTTTAAAGAAGCTTCACAAAGATGACCTGCTAAAGGATAAAAAGTATATACAGATATGTTCCCATCTTTCTGGTATTAAATGGTACAACTTTGGACGTTTTTTGCACACTTATTTAGTTGAAGTAACATTGTTAGTGTTAAGTCCTTAATGTGTTTTAAAGAAAATAAAAATCATCACCATTACTTCAAAGGCCAGTCAGATTAGGTACATTTAAATAATAAAAAAAAAGGTTTACTTCAGGTTCCCTAAGCTGGAAGCTGAGTATATTTCTATCTACACTCACCGGCCACTTTATTAGGTACCCCATGCTAGTAACGGGTTGGACCCCCTTTTGCCTCCAGAACTGCCTCAATTCTTCGTGGCATAGATTCAACAAGGTGCTGGAAGCATTCCTCAGGGAGTTTGGTCCATATTGACATGATGGCATCACACAGTTGCCGCAGATTTGTCGGCTGCACATCCATGATGCGAATCTCCCGTTCCACCACATCCCAAAGATGCTCTATTGGATTGAGATCTGGTGACTGTGGAGGCCATTTGAGTACAGTGAACTCATTGTCATGTTCAAGAAACCAGTCTGAGATGATTCCAGCTTTATGACATGGCGCATTATCCTGCTGAAAGTAGCCATCAGAAGTTGGGTACATTGTGGTCATAAAGGGATGGACATGGTCAGCAACAATACTCAGGTAGGCTGTGGCGTTGCAGCAATGCTCAATTGGTACCAAGGGGCCCAAAGAGTGCCAAGAAAATATTCCCCACACCATGACACCACCACCACCAGCCTGAACCGTTGATACAAGGCAGGATGGATCCATGCTTTCATGTGGTAGACGCCAAATTCTGACCCTACCGTCCGAATGTCGCAGCAGAAATCGAGACTCATTAGACCAGGCAACGTTTTTCCAATCTTCTATTGTCCAATTTCCATGAGCTTGTGCAAATTGTAGCCTCAGTTTCCTGTTCTTAGCTGAAAGGAGTGGCACCCGGTGTGGTCTTCTGCTGCTGTAGCCCATCTGCCTCAAAGTTGGACGTACTGTGCGTTCAGAGATGCTCTTCTGCCCACCTTGGTTGTAACGGGTGGTTATTTGAGTCTCTGTTGCCCTTCTATCAGCTCGAACCAGTCTGGCCATTCTCCTCTGACCTCTGGCATCAACAAGGCATTTCCGCCCACAGAACTGCCGCTCACTGGATGTTTTTTCTTTTTCGGACCATTCTCTGTAAACCCTAGAGTTGGTTGTGCGTGAAAATCCCAGTAGATCAGCAGTTTCTGAAATACTCAGACCAGAACTTCTGGCACCAACAATCATGCCACGTTCAAAGTCACTCAAATCACCTTTCTTCCCCATACTGATGCTCGCTTTGAACTGCAAGAGATTGTCTTGACCATGTCTACATGCCTAAATGCACTGAGTTGCCGCCATGTGATTGGCTGCTTAGAAATTAAGTGTTAACGAGCAGTTGGACAGGTGTACCTAATAAAGTGGCCGATGAGTGTATATCTGGTTCTAATCAGCGATTCTTTTAACTTCTCTTCACCTGTTGCAGAACATGCCAAATGTTCGGGACCATGACTCGTCGGTCTACCTGCGTCTCCAAGGTGACGCTCTGTCTGTGGGTGGATATGAACAAAATCCCATTTTTTGGGAGGAGGTAATCCTGCATATTATCTGCTGTTCTAAAATTATCTCTGAAGATCTGATGAAACCGACCAAAGTAGAAATATCCGCCATAAAATAGAGAAAACATGAATGAATATGGGAAATGTTTTAATAAAGATTTTAGTTAAAACTTTTTACAACAAAAAAATAATTATTCACATTTTAACTATGTTTTTCTTTTCGGAATTTTTTTACAATAAAAATCTCAGTTTTAGACTTGATCAGCATTTCATCGCTTTCCCTTCTAAAAACTTTGTTACTTAAATGATAGATGCAATAAAATATAATACAGCTGTAGGTAATCTGAATGCATGGTTCTAAAATAATTAGCTAATATTCATGGACATTAATTTGTGTACAGATGTTTATAGTGCAGCCATAGTGGAAAAGGATTTCAAATGGTTGTATTTTAAGTTCAAAGAAGACAAAAGTATGGAAAATTCTGGAAGCTTACAAAGTATAAAAGTTTGACATTTCTACATAAGAATGTTAATGTTTGTGCCTTTGTGGAGCTTTATTTCCTATTTTATCCGTTTATTCGTAACCAACTCAGCTGTTAATCAACTGTTTCCTTAGTAACATACTCATATATGTGGTGTCTCTATTGGAAACTCATTTCTAAACTTTTTTATGATTTCTATCACTGTTGTTAATATTATTGTTTTGAAAAACCCTCTCGTAATTGAGATGGTACATCTGAAGGGGATATCATTGAAATAGATGAAATGAAACTAGAAAGAATGACAAAAAGTAAGGTATAAGGTTTCTCCTTATAATCATAATTAAAAAAGCAAACCCAACGATAGAAGCTGTCCAAGCTTCATGTCCACTTTAAAGGAATAGTACACCCAAAACATGATTAGCCTTCATTTTCTACTCACCCCCATGCTGAACAACACTCTGGAGTACTTTTTTTGATATCTCAAATGCATTTGGAGATCTGGGAGGCTTCTTGCTGTCTGCTGACATTCAAATAATGGAGGTCTATGGTGACCGAGACAGAAAGGTCCATAAAAGTCCACAAAAACGTGTCAATATTCCTCCATACTGCTCGTCCAATGTATTCCAAGTGTCCTGAGCGGGTAGCATCCAGAATTTACTCGAAACGAAGTCATTTAGAATGTTTTTAGAGCATAAACAGTAGTGTATAGTATTTCCTGAAAGCGCGCACATGCGTGCTCACGACGCTACGGAAGCCGGCAGACCAAACCAGCGCATTCAGCTCGGCAAAGAACTCATGCTCTTCCTTAACACTGAAGTCCTCAGACATTTTTCTTTCGTTGTTTCTTTCTTTGCACAGGTAAACAGCACATTTCTTCTTCTACGCTTGCATTATCGGCGGAGCAGACGCTGAATGCGCACTTTCATCTGGTTTGGTCTGCCGGCTTCCGTAGCGTCGTGATCGCGCATGTGCGCGCTTTCAGGAAATACTATACACTACTGTTTATGCTCTAAAAACATTCTAAATGACTTTGTTTCGAGTAAATTCTGGATGCTACCCACTCAGGACACTTGGAATACATTGGACGAGCAGTATGGAGGAATATTGACACGTTTTTGTGGACTTTTATGGACCTTTCTGTCTCGGGCACCGTAGACCTCCATTATTTGAATGTCAGCAGACAGCAAGAAGCCTCCCAGATCTCCAGATGCATTTGAGATATCAAAAAAGTACTCCAGAGTGTTGTTCAGCATGGGGGTGAGTAGAAAATGAAGGCTAATCATGTTTTGGGTGTACTATTCCTTTAATGTCTTTAACATGTCTACCAATTTTTCACAGGCAAATGGTTGATCACAACTCCTTTTCTTTAAAGATCAATAAACTTAGGAAGTCTAAATAACTTTTTTTTGATTTATCCAGCATATCATGCTGGATAAATGTCTTTTATTTGGTGAGTTATTCCCAAAGATTTCCTCTTAAAATTCAAATCCTAAGATAAGATATATCAACTCCTGGCAACTGTATAAAAGAAATATTAAAGTTGTGTTTAGGGGGTTTGGCTTTTTTCTTTTACCTTTTGAGCTGAAAGTGTTTTTGCTTTAATAGATGATTTACTTTAAACTAGAGAAAACAAAGCGCTGTTACACTTAAAAAAGGATATTGAAATAGGTAAAAAAAATTCTTAAATCAAGTTTATTTGGCGTTAGTTTGAGCAGGTAAATAAGATGATCTGCAAATGGCATGACTTATTTTACTCTTAAAAAAGATACTTAGATAATATGCACTCAAAATAAGACAATGCATTTTTTTTCTTATTTTAAATGTAAATAGTTTTATTCCATAGGCAAAGTGTCTCACTTACCTCCTCAGTGAAAGAACAAATTTACTTATTATAGTAAAAAATGACTAATTGAGTTTTCAATTTTTGCAGTGTACAAGGTTGTCTAATATGTTTGTTTAACACTCTCTACAATTCTGAGCGTTTTAAAGAACCAGTTCTTGTACCAGTACTAATCACAGTTGCTAGAAACATGTTCAAAAGACGTCTCTTTTTCAGTCTTGATGATATCTGGTTGATTCTTGCCCGACCTCATCAGTTTCTTCCATTTTGTAACATGCCGGTCAGCACACTCCTCTGAGATTTAATGTTTGAAAGGATCTCTCTGTGCGGTGGCAGCTGCTTTTGTTCTCCTTTTGCAGCTGAGTGTTCCTTTGATGTTTAAGTCAGATGGAGAAAGAAGGAGGCGATACAGAAAGGAGAATTAGAGGGAAAACATTGATGCAGATTGTGAGGATAAGCAGGACCGATAGGCTGGGAGGGAATTGGAAAGCTGTGCTGCCTCCCTTAGATGTTCAAGTATATCTGATCAAACTGCTGCACATTCCTTTGCAGCAGTTTGATTTAACCCATCCCCTTGCGGAGCAGTGGGCTGCCATTGTGCAGCGCCCAGGGAGCAGTGTGGGGTTAAGGGTCTTTTTAAGGGACCCAAAGTGGGTGGATCAAACCGGGTACTTGCAACCTTCTCAGAGGACAAGCGCACTACTTTAACCACTAGGCCAACACTCCCCTTACAATGCAGTTACTGCTGCTTTGAATGAGGAATTAGGATTAAAGTTTAGTTCTGCTTCACTTAACAGGGAGTGAGTTAGAGAGGTGCATTAAAGCTATAGCTCAGCTGTTCCTTATCCAGTGATTATAACATGCTGGACTTTATTATTAGGTAGCCAGCCTGTCGCTGATTTTGGCACCTCATTACTAGGACTATGAATTATATGAGTGGTATCCTGTAAAATATCAGATGTATCAGATCTTGTGCCTAGATGAAGGCTTCACTCAATGCACAAGGACAAATTCAGTGCGTTTAATTTTCTTCTTTGATCTGCTGTTTTAGTTTAGGTCCATTGCCAACACGTCTTTATTTCCCAGGTGTCTGATAAGTTTGCCTTCAGCCTGTTTGACCTGGACTGGGACGTATTTATGCAACATATCGAGGGAGCTATAAATAGAGTTCCTGTTCTGGAGCAGACCGGCATCAAGTCAACTGTCTGTGGACCGGGTACAAACTCATACACACTTGCACATACTTTGACATTTTTTATGGACTTGACTGGGTCCATAAGACACATGTATCTTTCTTTTAGCATCTGGTAAACAGAATGAAGGCGGTACATCATATGTGAACATTAATTGGTGTTCAATTTTCTCAGGGTAGAGGTGCTAGAGGTGCTCACACTAGGAAAGTGATATTAAAATAAAATGAAAGTCTACAGAAAATGATTTCTGAAAACACAGGTGTCCATTTCCATTCTTTTAGGAGTGATTTACTTCAAACTTGTCTGCTTGCTCAAATACACCAGATTCGAAATGTTGAATTACTTTCTCAGAATGTCCACTTGCTTAGGCCTGCTAATAAACCATTTGTCTGATTCTGGGCCAATTTTTAAAATGTGCAGGAAACCGGCCTTTAGACTGCTTTTGGACACCACAGATTTTAAGGATATCTTGATAGCTGGCAAATACAGTGAAATAGCTCCAGGCTTCTGCTTGTCTGTTCAGCTCATGTCTATCTGGCCTTTCAATCAATCCAATCAGGAAACCACCCATCCATCTGTCCTTCCTTCCATCCATCAGTCTGTCAGTTCATCAGTGTCTGCAAGGTTCCAGGTTTAAAGCTAGAGACATGTAAAAACATCTGCTAGGATTACTTAATGGAGTTTTATATTTATAGTTGTTATAGCTGAAGATTATATATATATATATATATATATATATATATATATATATATATATATATATATATATATATATATATATATATATATATTCTACCTGTTTTTACTGTTGTTTTCTCTTTATTTTTGTTCTGCTTTTATTTTCTTCCTATTTTACTGTTTAATTCATGTAAAGCACCTTGAATTGTCTCTGTATTGAATTGTGCTATGGTAATAAGCTTGCCTTGCTGTACCAGAGTAAAAACATGCTATAAAAGACAAGAAGCTCTGAAAATGAATGTTTGATGAATAAAGAACTTGTGTTTTTTTGTTTTTATTAGAATCTTTTACTGCCGACCATAAGCCGCTGATGGGGGAGGCACCAGAAGTTCGAGGTTTCTTCCTTGGTTGTGGCTTCAACAGTGCCGGTATGTCCATTGATTTAACGAAAACACCCCCACATACACAGAACTAAATAGACTTTTAACATTTAAAATAAGATGTGGTGCAATGTTTTCTAAATTTTACCTGAAACTTCTAGATTCACACATCTGTAACTTTAAGTGTTTTATAATGTTGAGCTTTTCTTTTCTAAAGTCTGACATGATGACAGAGAAATTTGGTACATTATGCTGAAAAAAAACAACAAAACAAGTAAAAACAATTGAAGGGTGGTTGTAAAAGTCTTTGACCTAGACTTATAGCCCGGTGTACATTTTCTACGAACAAATAAATATCAGAGAGTGTTTGATAGACCACACACAAAATCAAGTTCATGTGCAAACAACATGTCACTCCATTACTGCACTGAACCTGTGACATTAGCCCCAGAAAAATAACAGTATCTAAGCAGTATGTGACAGAAAGAGGAGGCGTGAAGGCTGAAGTAATAACCAAGAGCTTTAACAGACAGCTGAGAGAAAGCTTTTCTCTGCAGAGTGCTGCAGGGTCAAGCACACGACATGTTCTGACAAAAGCCTGGGAGGTGCAGTGAAGTGGAGTTCTGAGTGGGCACACAGCAAAGCGTTGTCACATATTGCATTATAACTTGACCATCTGGCATATTAATACGTGGTTTTGTCCATTAGTCCAAACCTTGAGTCTAACTAATGTATTGTCAGCTTAGTATTCTCATTTGGGAGAGAGAGAACCCTTTTCTAGCTCTCGCATATTTCTCCTCGGTGTCAGATATAATTGTTTTGGATTTGTTAAAAAATCTAGAAATGGTTTAGAGCTGAAGCTAAGCTGGAGATTTTTTCTTCCTCTTTCAAATATCTAAGTACTGCTGCAATAACAATTCATTTCTTTTCTTAAGTAAAGATTGAAAAGCCTCATTCATTGGCAGAGGTTAAGACGTGTAAAAAATCTTCTTAGCAGCAGCAGCATGATCTCTGGCTGAGAACTTTGGAAGCACTCTGATGTTCACGAACAGTGCAAAATGTGGAAAAGCAGTCCTTAAAAGACAATTGATGATGCTGTGATATAATCTGATTTTAAATGTAGTATTTTTACTTCAATAAGGACATAAAGAGGCTCAATAATTCAACCACATTTTTTACTTCTATCACTATTTTTGGAAACAGCCACATCTCTAGCAATGACCTTTAATGACCTTCTTGTATATCGTTTGAATTAATTTGCTGGACAGCAGACCAGCCGGCCGTCATTACCTTCTGTCTTGGTCTTGTTTGACCCTTAAAGGAGATTTATTAAAAAAAATTTCCCTCCCTGACAAAATATAAAAATGCAACATGGTTGAAAATGTACCTGTAAACCTATTATTTCAATTTCTTTTGCAAAAATGAAAGAAATCTGCATAGAAGAAATGGCAATAGAGCAAAACGGATACAAAGGAGAGAAAAAGAAAGAAAAAAGTGACTTTTGGTTTGACAAGATGAGTGGAAGTACAAGCATGAGGGCTTCCAAGTAGACACTAACATGTCAGTGTGGTAATCTCAGGTGACATTTATCCGTGACACCTCACCTTGCTGGTTGTCACCACTTTGTCTGGGTTGTATGCCATCATCCTCCACGCACCCTCCTCCCTTTTATCTCTCAATCCATGCATCCATCCAGCTGCGCTACCAGCCATGGAAATTTTCTTCCCGTCTTTAGGGTGACAGTTTCTGGCAGCAAGATGTGTAAAGTGATGAGAGATGGAGGGAGAAGGCGTGCAGGGAAGTGATGAAGAGAAGCAAGGACTCGGAGGCTGTTGTGGTTGCATGTTAATGTGGTGCGTGCAACACTCACAGTGTATGCTAATTACAGACAACCAAGCACAAGCAGGGGGTTGCTAAAGGGACCTAACTCATTAACCCACCAGATCTGGGACTCGATGGATTACAACATCGTTTGTTTTATGAATGGTTCGAAAAAACGGAACACTGCAGCTGTTTGATAGACGATGAGGTCAGACTTCTCAGGGGCTGCTTTGAGCAGGGGTCAAATGTTGGTATAAAGGTTAATGCGTCCTCTATGACTCATTCATATGTCACACAGCAGATGTGGCAAAGGAAAAAAATGTTGCTTTCTTTCCTTTCCAAATTAATGAGACTTTCTCTCTGTCTTGCTGATGAGTTGGACCTTAGGGCAGGTAAAAAAGGGGAACAGAGCTCCTGCTGCTTAAGATTTTCTCTCGTTTGCCTTCAAGTCCATCCACAGAGAAAGCTTCATTTGAGGAAAAATTTTCTTTTTTTTTTTTTGAGTTTTTGCGGCACTAGTGGCTCCCTTTTTCAATAGTAGGCTGACAGGAAAGGGGTATGAGAGAGGGGGAGAGACACGAGGCAAAGTACCACAGCTCTGATTCGGACTAAGGCCTCCGTACATGGGTCGTGCGCACCTGCACACCTGGAAAATGTTTCTTTAAACTTGAAATCCTAATTTAACATTTCAGGTGCCTGATCTGCTGAATGATTTTGTTTACAAAAATGACAGCAAAGCTTACCTATTAAACAGGTGCACATTGATTAACATTTAACATGTCTAGCTTCATGAATATGCAGTGTATGCTGATTATCAAAACGATCATCCTCAAATGGTTTGTGGCTGCACTTTCTGCATCTTTAACTAGCAAGTTTGAAATCGGGTGCAAATTTGCACACAGAAGTTTCTCTGGCCATTGTGACGAGGAGGGACAGGCGCAATGAGAGGCATGAAAGAGAGAATCTTTCATGCACATTTTAGATCTGGACTATTCCAAGTTAAATAATATAGACGGATGATCTAAGGGTTAACTTTGAGCCAGTCACAATTAGAAGTCATGCCCTTTCCCCTATGGCGAAAATCCTTGCAACACTGTGTTCTCCTGAGCCTGGAATCATTTGATCTCACCATGCAGTTAGTGGTTTCTCCCAGAGAGGTTTCTCTGGTCTGTTGTCCAGCAGTGCCAGATTAATTTCTGAGTTTGGGGGCAGTGGGCGTGTTGTGTTGTCTTGCACTTGTTCGGTTGTTCTCTTAATCACGATCAAGTGGAAATGTTGCATGCAATTAGTCTGTGTATTAAAAACAAAAATGATGATTTATGTAATCAACAACGCTACTCATGAATATGAGGATGCTTATTTTCCATACAATGGAATAATGCTTTTTTTTATGGTAAAATGTGTTATTTTATACCATAAGTACTTTAATATTATATACTTTTATATATATCAAATAGCATAAAGTAATGGGGAATAGAGAAGATTTAGTGGGCATTTATATGCAGCCTGCCTGAGTCAGTAGAACCTGTGCTTACACCTGTAGGTTTTTGGTTGATGGACCTCTACCAGCTTTGCATATAAAAAGGCTAAAGATTTTGTTTGGTTATTATTGTAATTTGGCTGATGTTCAGTCCTATTAATTGGGGGTTGTTGTACTTTAATGTTGGCAATCATTTTCAATCTGATTCAGGTCATTATAGCACATGGAAATGCTTCCTCCAAACCATGCAATAACAGTTTTGTTTTGTTTATTTCTAACATTGTCTTGTTGGAAGGTAAACCTCTACACCAGTTGAAATTCTTTTTCAGACTCTTAACAGATTTTCTTGCAGGATTCCCAAATGTTTAGGTCCATTCATCTTCCTGCCAACACATGTTTTCCAGAAAGGAAGATGTTTTAGGCACCATGTGCACACAGTGTTATTTGTTATCCTACCCACATTATATTCTGCATTTAAGCCAAAAAATGTGCTTTTGTTTCTTATTTGACTAAAGCACTTCCTCATGTTGCTTTCCCCAGCATACGGCTTGAAGGTTTGCTTCAGCCTCATATCTTTCCTTTCCATTTTTTTTAGCTTACCAAAGCACATTCCTCTTGCTTTGTCCCCTGCATGGCATGTAGAATGCCGAACTTCTTAAACAATGCTTTCAACAGTTGCTTTTTCTTGCCACGCTGCCATAAAGGTCAGATTTCTGACCTACTGCACCAACAGATGCCTTATCAACCAATTATATTAGTTTAATTTTTGATCTCCTCCAGAGGTGCCATGGACCATTTTGGCTGCTTCTCATGTGAATGATTTGTGCAAAAATATCTTTCCATTTAAGATGATCGTATGAACATTGCTTCATGAGATGTTAATCTAGGGATATTTCATTATACCTTTTCTTTCTTTAAAAACTTGCTGACCTCTCTGCTGTGTTCCTTGGTTTGTATTATGCTGTTTATTCAATATTGTTGCATGGCAAACCTATGAGGCCTCTCAACTAAGTCACTATTTACCAATTTGTGGCCTTCTACATTTATATTTGAATTATTTTGAGTTATCAGCTTTTAGGGAGCCAATACTGATTTATTCAAGGCCTTTTAGTTCTTTAAAAAAATATAAAAAACTTTTTTATGCACAATTATGTGTGTTTGACACTCAAAACGATCTAATGAACTGGTAAAGGGTTCAAGAGGCATGAATTCTTTTGCGAGGCACTCTACTGTGTAAATAAGACCAAGAACCTGAGTCTCCTTTTCAACTTACCTGATACCTTATTGCACTAAAAGCAGGGATTCATATAATTTCTAGTTTTACACAAAGACCTTTAGATAGAATAAGCACCATGTTGGGTAAAATGTTCTCAGAGGAAGATGTTAACATGTGTTTTCATTAACTTTCTGCCAGGTATGATGCTGGGAGGTGGTTGTGGCAGAGAGCTTGCTAAGTGGATCATACATGGCCGCCCAGAAAACGACATGTATGGATATGACATCAGGTATGTATGCATATATTATTAAGCTTCCTATAGCAAGAGCAACACCTATAGATGGCATGTATTAAAGGGTGTCTGATTGTAACGTTTTAAATCAACGTTCATCGTTTCATTTCCTCTCAGGCGTTTTCACAGTTCTTTGACAGACAACACACGCTGGATCAGAGAGAGGAGCCATGAGTCATATGCAAAAAATTACTCTGTGGTATTTCCTTTTGATGAGCCACTGGCCAGCCGTAACATGAGGAGAGACCCGTTCCACGAGGTAGAGCAATTATACAGAGTATTTCATAAGAACTAATTGACTGACCTGCAACTTTTATTACCAGTCCTTCTGCTGTGATCCTGCAGACATGTTAACTGAGACTTACTAAGAGCTAATACAATACAGCTTTATTTATAAAGATTTGAAAAAAATACCTACATTTACAATAAAAAAAAATGTTATTTGTGTTTGTTTTTAATTAAAAACTAAATATAATTAACATAGAACCAGCTCCATACTGAGCTGGAGAAAGCATGCAAACAGATCATTCCTGAGTCTTTAGCCCCTAAAGAGAAGTCTCCATCTCAACTGGAGCCTGATTCTCGGAGCTGACAAAAGTAGAAAGTGAGCTGACATATTAGAATGAGATTCTTGTAACTCGTAATCTAAATGGTCACTGCAAGCTCGAAGTATGTATTCCGAAATCCCATTGCTCCAACAAGAAGCTGAACAATCACAGCGTCCAGTTCACAAATAACCATATTTGCTTGAAAATCTTGCTATAATATAACAGTTTAAAGTATATTTTCATAAATTTTTTGTGTATTATTAAGCCCTCACATTTGATCAATTACTCAGCTGTATATTTTAATTTAGGTAATCAAATCCTAATCATTTAACACTAAAGGCATCTATATAAACAAATAAATATGGCTTCTCTATAATAACCTATTGTAACGACTGAAAATATCTGGATGCCCAAAACAAAAAGTGGGGAAGTTTTATCCGTTTTAAAAGCATTTAGAGGAGACGTTTGCAGCAGAGCAAGAAAGAGTTGAGATGAGCTGGACAAAGTGTACATTTTTGGTAAAGCCTCTGGGATCTGCATCAGTTTAAAGGAGGTATAAAACTGAAAATACTATGCTTTCTTTGGACTGGAGGAGAATAAAGTGAGAAATGACTGTCACCACTAAGGACCCCTGTGGTTCTCCAGATGAGACGAGATGAGAAATGCTTTGCAAATATAGAATATGTTCTGTTCTGGACACATGAGATAAACCACTGAAGATCTAAGACAACAACATCAACACATTATTCAAGATGGTCCATAAGGATTTTATGGTTTATAGTTGCTATGGAGCAATTGAAAATGTACAATTGAACAAATGACATCTGGTTAGGCTGTAAATTTGGTGTTTGTGTTGAGGAAAAATAGTTTTATAGGCAACTTCCTTTACTGTCAGTTTGGCTCTGACTGACAGTGATGAAAGGCTTGCTCAGCTTAATACCTCCCTGGTTTAGTGAAACTGCTTATCTTGGATGTCAAGTTACAGTTTGCAGTCAGTTCACCTCCTTTCAAGCAATATCTACTTATCTTTGATTACTTCCAATGTATTCATAGATGGCATAACTCACTTTCTCCTTTTTTGTCTGTAATTTCTGCTTGTCAATTGACACTGTCTCTCAGTGGGGTTTTCTCTTACATTTTATCTGTCTTCTCTTTGCCTCCTCTCAATCTCCTCGCTGATTCAAAGTGATGGCAGTAAGTGGTGTGACTTAACTCCGCAGCGGGTGCATTTGATAATGCATGACTATAAATCATCCTCTCAGCTTTGGAGACTTAGCCGTGGATATCTTTCAGCTCCTGGCTCATCAATAACTCAGAATGGACTTCCCCACCATGTGTTACTCATAAATGATCCACTCAGAGACACTTTCTTTTTTTTTTTTTTCATTCCAGAGCTTATTTAACTAACCTCGCAATATTACCCTTGTAGCATGAATTTTTAAAAATGGATAACGGTCACATTAGTTCCACTGGAATCGCTACTTATGTCTGGAGCTTCATCAAAAATAATATTTATTTTCCTTAGCAGTTTGCTGCGTAGTTTTCTGCAGGTTTTTTTTTTTATATTTGTTCAGAATGAGAGCAAATTATGAGATACAGTGGGTATTGATTAAAAATATATATATATAATTATGTATAAAAGATTGGTTTAATATGGTATCTTGGTTACATAAACAGTTGAAACTGTAATTTTATCGGCATCCTTTCAAATTTTAACCTTTATACTCTATCCATGTCTGGATAGATTTTTACATACAGCCTGACTGGAGCAAAGAGGAACACTTCTATCAATTTTACAAATCTTAAACTGCACAAGGTTGTAGTCCACTGTATCTAAAAGGTATCCTTTAAAGTTTGACCGGGTGGGTGAGCTGTCTCTGTGCAAATAATGAGACTTTCCTCTTTCAGGAGGCAATATGGGGTTATTTTAGACCGCAAGAAAGTCATCTCTGACACTGCTGCTTGCACGCTTTCTCCAGCTCGGTAGCACAGATGGTAAATATAGCTTAGTGTGGGACGATTTGGCAAAAGACAGACAGCTTGATGCCTGCTTGGGGGAGAGCATAGCACAACATACCTACCAACTGTGGGCGACTGTCAATTTTAACAAGGATGGAGAGCCTTAAAATATCTTATCTGAACAGAGCTCAAAAATGAGAAAGTATTTATTTTTGCAGATATTTTATCTAAGCAAACCTGATGCAACATTTTCATCAGTTTCTTCTTGACTCACTTCTTGTTCAGCTTTAATAACAGGCTCTCTGCTTGCAAAAGTTGAATAAGTTTTCTTGGTGCAGTGAGTGCGATAGGTTAAGGACACAACTTATCATTGCAACCTCTCATAGTTACTCTTATTAATCCTGATGAGTGTTCATACTTTAGTGCAGGGGAGCAATAAAATGAAGGTATTTGTGGCTATATTATCTTCAGGACTGTATTATTTACAATGCTGTTGGACAGGTTGACAAATTAGTCTCCATTGATGAAAATAATTTGCAGATATTATGATTTGTGGTAACAGAGAGGTGTGTCCTGGAGTAACAATAAGACAATATAATTAAGACAGCTGTAAGGAGTAGAAGTTTAAGGCAGTGTAAAAGACAGGGATGACATTGCAAGAGGGTGGAGTGGATAGCGGTGGAGTGTCATGGGTATTTTTGACTGAAGGATAAGTTGCAGGAAGGAAAGAGGAAATATAAAGGCTGCAGTTTTTGAAGATGCATTGTAGAAGACTGGATGGTTCAATTTAGTTTTTCCCAAAAAAAAAAATGGAAAAAGTTTAGAAGGCATATGTGTTCTACTCCTTTTATCAGAAACCCAATCATAAAAACCTGTGCAACCAATTGCCCTCAAAACTACTCTAAAAATAAATGTTTTTATATCGCATAATCATTATAGACCTGCAAAACATCTGAAAATCAGGCTCTGTGTGGTTAGGATACCGAAAAAACATCCTCCCTTCTATGAAACATGGTGGTGGCCGCATTGTCCTGGAAGACAGGAGGATGGATGAGCCTAAATAAAGGGCAGTCCTGGAAAAAAACTGTTAAATGCTGCTGAAAACTTGAGACTTTGGCAAAGCTTCACAGAACAATACAACTTAACATACAATCCGAGCTGCAGTGATTTAGGTATGGTTTAGGTTAAAGAATATTATGGTAGGGATATTAGGTTCTAGATTAACCCAGTCTAGGTACATACCTAAATTTGATTGGAAATCTGTGCCAATGATTAAAATATGCTAACACTCTCCATCTATTTAGCATTTAGTTGAAATATATTTAGTTGCATCTAATTAAAATGTATATCCACATCAGAATTTGTGTTTTTGTAAAGAAAAATTTAAAGAATGTTTTTCCTTTACATTTAATTCCATTAAGGTCCTACTTTCTGGTGGTCTAGCACATAAAATTAAAACAACAAAAAAACTGGACATTTTGGTTGTGATGTCCAAAAATGTAGTAGAAAATCCAGAGGTGTGAAGACATTTCCAAACCATGTATTATTATTTTACCTATGCAGTTATGTTTTCTGTTAGTAATTCTAGACCACGGAAAACAATATTCTCAGCTTTGTGTTCCCTTTGTATATTTTGCAGAAGTTGTATTTGCTTTTGTGTTTGTTAAATCATTACAGGTGCTGACAGAGCAAGGTTGTGTGTTTCAAGAGCGACATGGTTGGGAGAGACCTGGCTGGTTCAACAAAGAAGGGCCGGCTCCTGTAGGGTAGACCCCTACATCACACTCACATTACCACAAACTGTCAATGCCTTTTAACGCTGTGTTTTTATGTTTTATTAAAAGGTTAAAGACTATGATTACTATGGAGCTTACAACATTAAAAATAATGAGAACTACAAATACAAAGAACTGCTTGGCAAAGAGTACACCTTTGACTTCCCTCCGCATCATGATGTGGTAAGCAGATGTGTTTGAGTCAATTTCCTTTTCTCAGTATAAAGCAAGTTACCACAGGCAAGACGAAAAATATAGATTTTTTGTCATAAAGAATAGTGTTAATGGGTATAGTCAGTAGTTTTAGTGGTGCATAAAGAGCTTTACAGCTTCACACTCATTCAGAAGCTTCATTGACAGACAGCTTGGATTTAAATTCTCTAACTTTGCCTTTAACTTCTCTCATGTCTGCCCTACATGATGCAACTATGAACCAGCTTTCTTTGAAATAAGGAGATGGCAACTTGTGTTGAATGTCTATGCTGTGTCTTGTTGTTTTAAATGCAGATTAAAAGCGAGTGTCTCTCATGCCGACATGACGTAGCTGTGTTTAACATGTCCTACTTTGGGAAGTTCTATCTCACCGGACCAGACGCCAAGAAAGCAGCTGATTGGCTCTTCTCAGCTGACGTCAACAAGAAGCCAGGTTAGTCAGACATCTGTTTCAGGTAACCCACATACACACAATATCCCTGAATGAAATGAATGATTCATTAGGATACCTCTCCTGAATTTAAAGACATGCCGAGGGACTAATTCAGCTGGTTCATTCAGGCGTGTTGCTCAAACACCAATAAAACTTATAAGACATTGGCCATTTAAGAATTAAAAAATGTGTTTTTACTAGCTAATATGCACCTTTACATGTGAATTTAACATGCTTTTAAATGACCTTCTGCACAGATACAGTTGTCTATGCAAGACAAGCCTGCATCCTTGTGCATCCAATATTTCATTCATATAAAAATATTATATCTCTTATAAAAGTATATGTCTGGGGAAAAAACATCTCTTTTGTTATATTAACTAAGTCTTCATGAGCACGTCTCATTAACAACACTGTCACACAGATAATCACTCTTTTAATCAATGAAGGTGTTACCCGTGCATATGTAGGAGTGACTGCAAACAGTGTCTTTTTTGGCAAATGGATGACCCAAGTCATAAATTTGTATCAATTGTAATTTAGTACAGAGTTATTACAGGGTTTTTATTCATAATGTCTTCATTACTGAATTTGTAGTTTATTATTCCATTAGAGATTCACAACGTTTTAGGGTCATTTGACCCTCATTTAATTAATTCCCTTTAAACCTCTACTTTATAAAAATGAGAAGAGAGCATTTTTAGTCAAACATCGAGTAGTGCATTTTTTTATTTACATCAAAATATTTATTTCAAGGGAAAAATCATATGAGAAACTTTGGGTAATTTTTGAGGGGGAAAACATATTTTAAATCCTAGCTACACATGGTTAGGACTACAGCTTTTTTTTAGCTACAGTGTTTACATCCTGGGAGCTTTTATGAAATAAAATGCTATTTGATTTGTTTCAATAGCACTTAAGCTTTTATATAAGTATTTGTCTAAAATGGGTTTTTGTCCTGCTGTCTCTGCTGTGTTTATCCAGTGGTGCAGCTTGTTCAAGGTGATTTTACTTTTTTTTTCCCCCTTTAAACTCCTTGATGTGTGCTGTGCCTTACAGGTGCTGGTCATAAAATTAGAATATCATGAAAAAGTAGATTGATTTCAGTAATTCCATTTAAAAAGTGAAACTTGTATATTATATTCATACATTACATACAAACTCATATATTTCAGATGTTTATTTTGTTTAATTTTGATGATTACAAATGACAACAAATGAAAATCTCAAATTCATCATATCAGAAAATTAGAATATTACTGAAGACCAATAAAAACAAAGGATTTATAGAAATGTTGGCCAACTGAAAAGTATGAACATGAAAAGTATGAGCATGTACAGCACTCAGTATTTAGTTGGGCCTCCTTTGGCCTGTATTACTGCAGCAATGCGGCGTGGCATGGAGTCGATCAGTCTGTGGCACTGCTCAGGTGTTATGATAGCCCAGGTTGCTCTAATAGTGGCTTTTAGCTCTTCTGAATTGTTGGGTCTGGTGTATTGCATCTTCTTCTTCACAATACCCCATAGATTTTCTATGGGGTTAAGGTCAGGAGAGTTTGCTGGCCAATTAAGAACAGGGATACCATGGTCCTTCAACCAGGTACTGGTAGCTTTGGCACTGTGTGCAGGTGCCAAGTCCTGTTGGAAAATGAAATCTGCATCTCCAAAAAGTTGGTCAGCTGCAGGAAGCATGAAGTGCTCTAAAACTTCCTGGTATGTGGCTGCGTTGACCCTGGACCTCAGAAAACACAATGGACCAACACCAGCAGATGACATGGCACCCCAAACCATCACTGACTGTGGAAACTTTACACTGGACTTCAAGCAACGTGGATGAAGTGCCTCTCTTCTTTTCCTCCAGACTCTGGGACCTTGATTTCCAAAGGAAATGCAAAATTTACTTTCATCAGAGAACATGACTTTGGACCACTCACCAGCAGTCCAGTCCTGTTTCTCTTTAGCCCAGGCAAGACGCTTCTGACGCTGTCTGTGGTTCAAGAGTGGCTTGACACAAGGAATGCGACAGCAGAAACCCATGTCTTTCATACGTCTGTGTGTGGTGGTTCTTGAAGCACTCACTCCAGCTGCAGTCCACTCTTTGTGAATCTCCCCCACATTTTTGAATGGGTTTTGTTTCACAATCCTCTCCAGGGTGCGGTTATCTCTCTTGCTTGTACACTTTTTTTCGACCACATCTTTTCCTTCCCTTCGCCTCTCTATTAATGTGCTTGGACACTGAGCTCTGTGAACAGCAAGCCTCTTTAGCGATGACCTTTTGTGTCTTGCCCTCCTTGTGCAAGGTGTCGATGGTCGTCTTTTGGACAACTGTCAAGTCAGCAGTCTTCCCCATGATTGTGTAGCCTATAGAACTAGACTAAAAGACCATTTAAAGGCTTTTGCAGGTGGTTTGAGTTAATTAGCTGATTAGAGTGTGGCACCAGGGGCCATCAATTTTGAACCTTTTCACAATATTCTAATTTTCTGATATGATGAATTTGAGATTTTCATTTGTTGTCATTTGTAATCATCAAAATTAAACAAAATAAACATCTGAAATATATGAGTTTGTATGTAATGTATGAATATAATATACAAGTTTCACTTTTTAAATGGAATTACTGAAATCAATCTACTTTTTCATGATATTCTAATTTTATGACCAGCACCTGTAAATAGCTTGTGGCAAGGCCAAATTGGACTTGAGATTCTCTTTTAGTAAGGACTTTCTACTTTGCTCTTTTGCATGACTAATGGTTCTCTCACTTTAGCTGTGGCTGTCTGAAGCTTTTCCACAGTTATCGTGAGCCTTTTGGCCATTCCAATCAGTTAAAATGACAGTTACATACTGTTTTCATTATTAAATGATAGAACAGTTCTCAGTGGGAATGTCGAAATTAAGCATTTTGAATTATAACCTCAGTAAAAGTGATTCAATTCAAATGGATGTTTTTATTTTATTTATGTTTTAAAAAAAGAAGAATGTACATTTGTATTTGACATACTAGTAATGCAGTACTTTGTGTTTGTCCATCACAATAATATGACAAACTGAAGACTTTAGTTGAAATATGATTCAGTTTTAAAAGATCATGAATTAAGAATGCTGTTGCATTTGCTGTATTCGTTTGCATTTCCTTATGGAGTTATTAATATTTCACTGGTAAATATGTTTGCATGCTTCAGGTTCCACTGTGTACACTTGTATGCTGAATAAAAGAGGAGGGGCAGAGGCTGACCTGACAGTAAGCAGACTGGAGCCAGGTGCTGCCAAGCTGCCGCTGGCACCAGAATCCAATGGTATGAACCAAACTGTCATCCTTGGTTTTATAGCTACTAACTAAAAGAACAAAACAAAGAGGCTGAAATATAACTGGGTCAATATGTTATTCTTTTTCATACATATATATATATTCAATTAAATGCCAGCACTTACAAAAGGTACCTCTATATTTTTGAAAAGCCAGCGCTGTTTAATTTATATGCTAAAAAAACAGAAATAGGATAAACCAGATTACATATTTTGATTAAATTACATCTGCCTTTTTTGGGATATTTTACGTAGGTATTGCTATGTTCTGCAAGCATTTGATAAAACGCTCATTAATGATGTGTGTAGTTGTATTTCTCTGCTGGTGAGGGTGCCTCATTTCCTTAAACCATCACCTTCCTTTTACCCAGGGGATGCCTACTACCTTGCCATCGGAGGTGGGGTCGCAGAACACAATTGGAACCACATCAGAACAGTTATTCAGGACCAGGGCTTCCAATGCCAGCTGACAGACCACTCTGAGGACATGGGGATGATCAGCATCCAGGGACCTAAGAGGTTAGTGGAGGAAAGAGGTGGAATGGCTTTTAATGGCTGAGAGCTAGTTCTTATGAGCAGTATTTATAAGAACTGGCTCTGTGGGAGCTTTTAGCTTTAGCCTCAGCTTGATTGTTATCTTTAATTGCTGCATACTTAGCAGTATTGTGGCCTCATGAAATGGTGAATGGGGTATGTTGTATTGAAAGTTTTGGTTGCAGCTACCCCATTACTTATTTAGGCCGTACATGAATTGCTAATTGCAATCACCTGCCCTTTTTTTTTTTTTTTTTTAAAGAGACATCGTGTACGTTTTTACTGAGCAGTATCTTTAAAATAATAATTTTATTTTACCCTTTACGACTAAAACATTGTTTGATGAGTACATTTACTAATTTTACTTCTGTTTGGATGTTCCCATGCTGTTCGGTTGAAGTGACGTCAAGCCATGTTAAATGCTTCCGACCTTGCAAACAATCAAAGTGTTATATTCACGATGAGTTTTGTTGATACTTAAAAACGACTTGCATTCAGCTTAACTCAAACCCCAATGGCAGCTCCAGGTTAAGTGAAAAAACTAAAGACCTTTCAAAGTATGAATGGAAACTATAAGCTGAAGAGTGCTGCAGTTCTGTGTTTTGGCCAAAGGTCATAGTCTCATTAGACTTAACATAGTCTCATTAAAACTTAATGTAATTCATCTTAACTGCAAAATACTTCTAAACTGACAACATTGCTGGTTGCCGTGCAGTGGGTGATGTCTTCACACACACACAGATGCACGTGACCTGATTGTCGTATCTCCGATTGAGCTGTTCCTCCCTGCAGAGCAAAGGGGGGGCGGGCTTATTTTCAGATCTTTGTGAAGGTAGAAAGGCTCGGTAGATAAAGCTAGTTTCTGATGTATGTATCGACCGATCGGATTGGCCGGCCTTTACACCTCTGTTGTCTTTTGTTCTGTTACTCTCCTACTTCTTCAAAAAGGTTTTCTTTTGTTTTGCATTTTAAACTGGTTGTTCACTGAAATGTGGTCAGTCTGGATAATTTCATTAGATAGGAAATTCCATGTAGAACTTGTGTTCTAAGCCATCACCTACAGTTGATACCTTTTATCAGGTAAAAAAAAAGGGCCGAAGATATAAGGGCCTCCAACTTTGTGGCTTTGTTCTGCCTCCCTGCAGCATTTCTTTTTATTTTTTTTCCACACAGAGCAAGTCAGGCTAACTTTACTTCTTGATCTCAATCACTGCTCACCTCAGTCTATCTTTCTCTTCTCTCTCACCTCCTCTCCTCCCTACATCGCTGCCCTTTGCCTTTCTTCTTCCCGCTCACCGAGCTGCAGGTTGCGTCCACCCCTGTTCTCTGTGTGGGATTTTTCGATTTCTCTTCCTGAAGGCCTTTCTTACCCTCTGTTATCCTGAGTTCCTTTTTTCTCTCTCTCCGGTGATCCGATAGATCTTCTTATTTGTCTTCTCTCCCTGTTCCTCGCTTGCTGCCTGGTCGACCTATTCTAAGTCACCTTGCCTCAGCTTTGATGCTTTTTCTCCCTGATCTGCTTACGTTCAGAAATAATTATTTCCATCCTGTCTATAGTGTACTACTCTAAAAACTATATTGGTGTTTGTGGATTTTTTACTCTCCCTGTTTTCTTTCTCTCCTCTCTCTCTCTACAGCAGTATATTTATATCCATCATGTGTGAGGAATTGCAGAAAATTACTCTTCCTCTGTTTTGCTTTTGTTCCCTTATGAAGCAAATTGATCCCAGTAAAGCTGGAGAAGCGGGAAGATTACAGTGTTTACAGAGATGTGTTGGTGTTTTCTCTCCCGGCGATGTCTCACTCACTGTTTCCCAGTGAGGGAAGTCTTTTGACTCAAAGCTTTTCTATCACGCAGCTTGGCACCAAGTTTAAAAGTGCGAACTATTGCTCAGTCCTTTGTTTTGGTAATTATGAACCATATTTACAATTGTTACATCATGAGTAATCTTGTTTAACTCTAACTGAGAGATCAGAGTTAAATGGTGAATTAAAGACATAAATGCCTTCAATGAGAGCTTCCTTCATTACTGGCCCTTTGCTCCTGGGATTTTAAGTTCTTTAGAGGGAATTTGGACTAACTGGAGCCGAGTTCGAGGGAAAATCAGCCGTTATTACCAGCTCATAAGAATTAAGCTTCCCTTTTTTTTTCCATGCCCACACATTTCAGCATACATTACATCAGTTGGTTTTTAGAAGGTGCTTGCAGAAAGATGGAGAAGCATAACCTGAGCCATTCAACAAATATCCTCATAACTGGCTTTTTGCCACAACCAAGGCAAAAAATATCCGCTGTTTTCTCTGGCTTCCCACTCATAGGGATACCAGGCCAATAGTGCAAATATAAAATATCATTTTTATGATGATTCATCATTATGTAATATTGATTGCAGTGTAGTTTGCAGGAGGAGGAGAGTTTGTGCATTTTCTCATAGATCCAGAGTTTCCTTTTTTTGAGACATATGTGGAACCTTAAAAACAAAGACTAATTCTTTCTCATTTGTAAACATACAGCATGGAATTCACTTGGTAGTGCAGTTTTCAACAGTTTTTCATTTGCAAATTGCCATATTTTATAACAGATTTACAAAACAGATATCACCTTGGCCCAGTCGCTACAATGATTAACTTGATCGTTTTTATAGACGGCTTAGAAAAAATAGCTTCTTCATACGTGCACACAACATCACTGTACAATGCTGTGGTACTTATCGTGCTTAAAAACTGCCAGTGAATCAAACTAAAACTGTTGACATAGACAAAATGCATTCGCAAGAAGAAATTTGTTTTTTACATTTGCAATCTGGGACCGATTAGACACGGTTGTTTATGTTCTCCCATAATGTCGGATCTGTTTGGATGCACAGTCTGAATTATAAAACTTTGCAGATGCACATTATTTGGTTTCCTTGTGGATGGAGCCACAAATAAGAGATGCAAATTTGCCCATCTAGTCCAGCAGATGGTACCAGTTTGCACCTGTTGTCATATCAGACTTAACTTGTTCTCTTATCAGCCACAAACACGGGAGGCACAGAGGCAATAGAGAACAACAGAGGACGATGGAATGAAATACTTCATAATTTAGCATGCCATTATGTATGTTAGTATGTCTGAGAAAATCCTCATCGAAAGTTTGTTTCTAAGTATGAGATATTTTAATTTGTGTCTTAAATAAACATTAAATTTAAGAATAATTTGTTAATCCCAAAGAGAAATACAATGTTTCAGTAAATCATGTCCAGTTTTCCAATGAGATGTCATTGGTGTTAAAAACTGTAAGCAGGAAGGATCTTCTATAGAGGTCTGTCTTGACACTTTGTTGTTGTTTGGGGCAATGCACCAATCTGCCTGTATGATCTGGTTTGATGTCTCTGTAAAGTGCCTTGAAATGACATGTGTTGGGAATTGAATTGAAACAAACTGATGCATAATGAGATTGTATTTATTTTATTTTTTTATATTTACAGCCGGGAAGTTTTACAGGAAGTTTTGGACACAGACCTGAGTAACGAAGCCTTTCCCTTCTCTACACATAAAGTTGTGAACGCAGCAGGACATCAGGTAAAAATACGAAGAAACACTCAAAGATGTAAATTATGCACCAACAAGGAACAATGTATTTATTTGGCAAATAAAGATTTTACTAGCAGCATTTAGAGAGAAAAGATTATATTTCTTACTTTGTCTCTACTAATAAGACAAGTCAATCCATGTGTCGATGTCCCTCAATGCCACCCTTACCAGTCATTTGCTGCACACTGTTAATTAGCTGACTTAATAAAGGCTGATAGATAATTTCTTTGCTATTTTAAAACTTTTCCAGTTACAGAAATTCAGGAAGCAAAACTTTCACCTGTTTTACTTTAAGCAAAATTTGATTCAAAACTAATGGCAGCATTGCTGTCAAAGAGCAATATGCAGGCTAGCCATGTTCTGGTAGTTTACTCTTTTATTATTTTAATTAATATTGTGTTATTAAATCAATCTGATGTGCTTCTGTTGCACCATAAAGGGAAGAACAGATAAAATCTGTAATATACATTGCAGACTAATCACATAAAAGCTATTAATTAAGTACCTCCTATTGATCAACTGTTAATTTAGCATCAATTCATTCAGCACCTTTTTTTAAGTCTTTACATAATTCAAAAAGCAAACAATTGATATGGTGAGCATCATCTTTATAGTCATCGTTGTTATACTATTTAAGCAAGTTATTTAATGTTACTGTAACATATTTGGAGTTTTGACCTTTGATTTTTGACCTATGATAATTAAAAAAAAATAAAAAAAAGGAAGGAAGGAAGGAGTGTTGCACTCATTACGGACTCATGCAGCGGCACATATGTTCACTCAACCTCAGTCCCACTTAGTTTCTCCTTCTTCAATTATACAATGCCCCGTTAGTTGCAATCTGCATCTTTGCACATCTCTGCAGGAGTGTTTGTGCATGTGTGCTGAGTGAGGGTCTTGTGTTGTTTTCCAGCTGGTTTTTGGCCTTGTCACGGTGACAGTTTAATGGCTGCAGAGCTGTTTGTGTGAGCATAGCTCTTCCTGCCCCTCTGCAACCTCTCACAGCTCATTAGACCATTTCTGCCTGTTTCTGTTTTCCTAACTTTTCATCGACAGCGGGTGCACAAGCAAACAGATTTATGCACTTTCATGTTGTCTGTTTGTTTTTAGCTAGTTGGTACATGAGTGTGATCGTGCATTAGGCATGCATTCATCTGGTGTATGTCACGGTAACATGCCTCAATGTACTAACCTACCCTGAGCTAGGAGATGTGCATATGGAGCCTGCAGTGATCCCTGACTGGACAGATTGACTCTCTGTCATTGCACCAACTGTGAAAACTGTTGGAGAAGTCATTTTATGTCCCCTTCCATATTTCATTCCCTTTCAACATGGAGTACGCTTTCTGCTTTTGTAGATAATGATAATGTTTTTGCAAAAAAAGTAGCATTTTCTACATTTTCATCTTTATCTGATCTTTACCATTTTACATTCGTACTCATTTTTATGTCCTTTTTTCTTTGTTTTCCCAACTTTATGCAATAATGAGCAGAAATAAAGCTTCAGTAGGACATTTTGAACCTTCACAATCATCCCTCCCCCATTTTAACACTCTTTTCTACCCGATCTGCCTTCCAGGTTCGAGCGATGCGTCTCTCATTTGTAGGTGAGCTTGGCTGGGAACTGCACATTCCCAAAGACTCCTGTGTTCCCGTCTACCGAGCTGTCATGGCCGCCGGTGCAAAGCATGGCATCATCAATTCAGGCTACAGAGCAATTGACTCTCTTAGCATAGAGAAAGGTAATGTAAATATTTTGAAAATTATTTAAACTCAGCAGAAATACAGATTAAGTTAAACATTTCCTCTTTTACAACTTTGGTCTTAAGAATGGATTTTTCTTTATTATTTTGCTCATAAATTCTACTTGTTTTCCTATAACAAGGGTACAGACACTGGCATGCTGACCTTCGGCCTGATGACACACCTTTGGAGGCGGGGCTTGCCTTTACTTGCAAACTGAAGAGCTCTATCCCGTTTCAAGGCCGGGAAATACTGGAGAAGCAGAAGAAAGATGGGCTGAGAAGACGCATCATCTGCTTCACCATTGATGAGTTAGTAGATCCTCAACAAAAAAACCTGCAATTAATCCTTCAGCAAAATAGAACAAAAACTATTATTTTTATTGCTACTCGAAGGTCGTGGCTACAACTTTTTCACCAAAAGGATACATTTTTCAAAAATAATCCACCCTCAGACATCTAGATTGGTGAAAAATAAAAGAATGCCTTTTACAGAACAAAGAAATGCATTATAATAATTTTATAAATATTTACAGATCAAAAACATATAAATATTTACTTATGATAAAGAAATTTCAAGAATTGATTAGATTTTGATTCTTCAGATTTTAAATAAATTCTTTACAATCTGATCTCAATTTAAAATATTTGTATTGAAACATTTTTTTAGCTGTTGCCTGGATTAAATGACGGAAATTCTTCAACATATTAATTCTAGTATTATATTAACATTCAACTGCAAATTGATACAATTAAAATAGTTAATGGTGGCTTTGAGGTCAACAAAAGTGTTTTTGTAAAAGTTTGTGATGGGCATAGATATATATATATTTTTAATCTGTAATCTTGGAATTAATCTAGATTAACCTAGATTAAAATCGCTCATTTGAATTCTGCCAAAGACATTCATGTGTGTGCTACCTCCATAATTTAAAAGAAAATGTTTACTTTTTTATGTTTGCAAAATTATACGTTATTTCCTCTTCTTACCTAAGATATGGACAAAGTTATAAATACTTTTTTTGCGCCAATTGTTACTGTGTTTTTGCTGAAAAAAGTTAGTGTCCCACTTCCGATTATAGATGTCCCACTTTAACAATATAGTATCTCCAAAAATCTGACACAACTGTCAACTCGATAAATTTCTCATCTTTCACGGTTTTCTCCACGGCGTGCTGGTTATGTGTTCTCATGATAGTTCCCCTCGCAGTTAGTTTGTAAGATGGGTCACCTGTGGCCGCCTGAAGAACGAGCTCGATCCGATCAGCCACGCTGTTGGGGTGGCGGCTTGTGGCTTTCCACTGAGCGAGGGGATTGGTGAGCTTGGCTGATAGAGCTGTGCTTATAGCTGCATCCATGTCAGCACTTCACGTTTGATGTGGTAATTTCACAGTACGCCTACACAGGTTGGAAGACTGATTCATTCTCGCCTCACAAATACACATCCGCGTTAAAATATCAAGGTACCATCATTAGTATAGACTCAGCTCCCACCCAACTGTGAGAATAAATCAACGGCAACATTTTTTTAAACACCCGATAAGAGTCTGCCGTTTACGCTGCACATTAACACCAATAATGGCCCAACACTAGTAAAAATCTACCTTTGGTTATGTAAAGCGATCTTTATGAATTTATATGAGAATCGATGCCCAGTGAAAGTAGCTCATTACTAGCCAAAGTAACTATACAGTTACATTTTATGATCTAAAGTAGTGAATTTGTAAAACTTTCATTGTTGAATTTTAAGTAAAACTAGTGGTTCAAACCTGGAATATAAATACATTAAATAATTCATTTCAAGGTCTAAACATCTGGAAACGTTGAAAACTAATCTACGCTATTTTGATGTGTTTGGTTTAACAAGTGAGTTGCAATATATTTATGTAGATGTATGTTGTTTATAATAAATGAAAAATAAGGCATTTATTTCTTTGCACATTGACAACATTCATTTAAAATAGGTAAGAAGCTGAGAAATAATGTTTTTCAGGTTATTTAACCAAAAAAATATATATACTTTGCAATATAATTAACAAGCGGTTATATTATTCCAGAAAACTAGCTGGGCTGTATGATCCCAGGATGTTTGCATTGAAAAACATAAACCATGCAAATAAAATCATTATAGCTCTCAGAAAATAAAGAATGTTTCTTAATTATAGGCAGCAGCTGTCGGTCACTGCTTAGATGATCTGAGGAGCTTCTTTAAATTAACTTCTAACCGACATTGATCAATTCTTTGTTTTTACACATAATGAACAAATCTCAGAAGCATTTAGCCTTCAGTGAGCTAACTGTAGAAACGCTGTTATGGAGTCAGTGGCTGTGCGCCATTGTCTCTCCTCTGTGTTCACAATGAAGTTATGCATGGCTGCTGCGTGCGCCACGTCATTTTAAACCAGGAAACTAGTCCTTATTTATACATATTATGAAACGAATAACAAATCTGTTTAAAGTGTAGTAATGACTAATGCATTACCGACTAATTAGTCACAGTGGTAGTGACCAGAAAAGTAGCATAGTTACTGTAACTCCTTCCTTACTTAATAATGTGTTAGTCCCAACACTGGGAATGATAATCTAAAGACACGTGATCTTAGACGTTGCTTGATGGTAGTAGCTCCTTAAAAGCTCTGGGAAATGGCTCCTTCTCTTTATTACATCCTCAGATGTAAGCGAAGAAAGAAGCAAAGTAAGAGTGAACATCGGTAGAGCTTTTGAGCATTGGTTCCCGGCTTATGGCAACAAAAGGGCTTAGGAGCAACTCAATGGTTGCCGCTTTCCTTCTGGACAGTTTAGTTAAATGTTTGCTACACAGAACCTGGAAACCGTCAGGAAAACATTACAATTAAAGGTGGGAACATAACCGTGTGAGCGAAAAACCTACTGACTTGGACGACTTAAACTGTAGCCATTCCATTTAAAATGACATTGTTGTTACATCGACTGGTGAATTACAGAAAAGCTGAGAATATATATTTTTTTGGTATTTTTTGTATCTTTAATGGGAAATTTCCATATAGACTTTATTCGTTGACCATCTGACCTCCCCTCTGTTTATCAGTTCCTTTCAGGTTCTATAGTTTTGCAGGTTTTATAGTTAAAATCTCACCACTGTAGAAATATATGCCTCAAAGCAACACTCTGTAACTTATGACCTTAGCAGAGATCTATTAAATGATATTCCAGGTCAAAATACAGCATTTGAAACATGTAGATACCCTGTGCTGGCTAATTTTCTCCAAAACTACAGGGAACAGATTATTACATGTTTTGGAGATTAATTTTTTTACAACTAAAGTTCCCTACAGCTACTCCACTTTCTAAATATCAGCTTGTGTGCAGTTTTCATTGATGTATTTTGCCAGACTTTAATGAAAATGTTTACATTTTATTTCCTCCTTCTTCACACCAGGAAAGTACCAATGTTTGGTTTGGAGGCTATATTCCGCAATGGCGTCCCAGTCGGTCACCTACGGCGAGCAGACTATGCCTTTTTTATTGACAAAACTCTTGGTTATGGATACATCCGCAACCCTGATGGAGGAGTGGTAAGATTTTAAGGAGATGCAAACACCAACACACTGTATTCTCCCTTTTATTGTCATTTCTTACTTTTAAATATTGTTATTTTTATCTCTCCCAGACTAAATAAATAAATCTTGACTTCCTAATAAATGTTAATCCATAACAAAGTTAAGAGCACCTGGAGAATGATTGGGGAAGTGATTTTTTTTTTTTTTTCCTAAATTTTTTTATTAAAACATTAAATCACAACTCTGATCCAACTAATAAATGCAATAATCTTTTTAATATTATATTTTTAAATGAAGGGCAAAGAGCAACTATTTAGATCTTTGTTTCAGTAAAGTGTTGGATTTCCTTTGTTGCAGGCAAATGATATTTAAAGAGAAACTGGTGTTGCTCAGTGTTTTTTATTATGAAGCAACCAACTGTGTTAGTTCAGTGGGTAAATGACTGAGAGACAGTTTAGTAGATCAGTAGGGAAGGATGTAAAGAGGGAAAAGTGCACAGGTGAGTGAAAATAAGTTTTGTGACCGGTGACTCACAAAGGGCTTAGTTGCTTTTTATGTTCTTATTCTTTAGTCTGTTCATTTGTTTGTTGTAATTGCCTTTATATCCTTCTTTCATTATTCCTTTCTTTAAGCCTTTCACATGTTTTTTATTTATTTATTATTTTTACTGAAGAAATGTTTAATTTCTTACAGGTGAGTGCCGACTTTGTTAAAACTGGCGAGTTTACTCTCGAAAGAATGGGAATGACATACAAGGCCAAGGCCCACCTCAAATCTCCATTCGACCCTGAAAATAAACGTGTTAAGGGGATCTACGAGTGACCGGTCAGAGAACGATATGCAGCCTGCCACTTTTTTCACATTCAGTTGCAATTACAATAATGCATATATTTGCCATTTAAAATGTTTCTAAAGGTATTTCTATTGTATTTTTAACATTATCCAGTATAAAATCAAAGCAGGAAGAATCTGGCTCCACTGTTTCTAAAAAGGAAATAATGTAAGATTATCATAAAAATTTTCATCAAGATCAAGATTTTTTTTCTCATAGTCAAACTACTTTTAAGAATCTCAGTGTGCATATTGGCATGTATGACTTTAAAGATGACCTTCTAACTGCAATTACCGTATTTTCTGGACTATAAAGCGCACTTCACTATAAGCGGTAAATTTTTAGGAAAAACTTGAAACGTACATATATAAGCCACACTGGGCCATAAGCTGCCTTGTTGTAGTATGTTGTTGTGCTAAATGAAAATTAGACCCTTATTCTTTCATTTCCAACTTTGACTTCCCCCTCTGGTGGTCAGGAAAAATCCACAGAAAAGCTGCACCATATTTTAAGCTGCATGGTTCAAGGCTTGGGGAAAAGTATCGGCTTATAGTCTGGAAAATATGGTATTTCTCTTTCTGGCAGCTCACTTTGCATTGAGCCGTTTAGCAGAACTCATAATAATGATCATAGATTTGTTTCAGTATTGCAAAGTTCTATGTGAAGCACTGGCAGTGGCTGCCATTAACCAAAGACATATTTCAAGGGCTTGGAAAAGAGATTATCCATGTTTGTGTGTTTTTACTCAAATTGAATACCATGCTGATGTTTCCTTAGTAATGAGGATTTATTGTTATTTGGTTTTTAAATTAAGAGCAACGCTGTTTTTGATTACCCATTAATCGGCTGCATCATTATCACCCACAACTGGAGATCAGGGCTTCATCCTGAAAGCTAAAATATTCATAAAGTCTAGCAAACTGACTGGCTGACCCCCTGTCTCTTGCTTCAAAGTGTTAGATCTGTGCCTTGTGCTCTTTATCCCCACAAAATAGCCTCAAGTAGACATTTTTCTTTCTTTTTTTTTGTTATTTTATGAGGCTAAGTCTAATCAATCCTTAATCTTTTTTTTTTACATTGATGCATACTATTCTATGGTGGGTATTTGCCATTCACTCCAGTGACTATTGTCATTTTTATGTTTCAGTCGAAGTTCTTCAAGCTGTGATTATTAGCATAGTTTATTTTAATCATTTTTATTTTTGCATTTTAGCCCCTTTAGGAGCTTAAATGTTGTTAGATTAGTAAAATTAGGTCTAACATTTTAAATTACCTCATAAATAAGATGATTTCTGCCAGAGAAGAATCAGCAGAAAGATGCAAATCTGCCTCAGCCTCACTAATAAATAGTGTTGCACTGATGCCATTTTTTGGCCCCGGTACCTGGTTGTGCAGTATTGGCCAATACCATCTGTTTTAAATAGATGTGTGTGTGTGTGTATATATATCGAGAACTGCATACTACTTGTATGTAAAATAATTGCTATCATGGCTTTGTCAAGCTGCTGCCGACCTTTGTGAAGCAGGAAAAAGACTACCGTAATACAAAGTGAAATCCAGTAGAACTTTTTATTGCCTACCTGGAATGGGTGAAATTAGTTGAGCAAACTTTTGGCTCTCAAAATGTTATCGATGCCCTTTTTGTTGGTACTGGCCGATTCGATACCATTTTAGTACTGGATCGGGGGCCCCGCCCGATACTGGTTTCGATATCGGTGCAAACTACTAATACCAATTAACTAGTAAGTGTTTTAATACTAATCTTGCCATTTATGCCATAAATTATAAAAAAATTTTTTTTATTAAAAATTGACTTAAATGTAATACATTTGTTAACTGGGCCTATTTTTTCCGCTAGTTTTAAAAGTCAGTCGTCCTATGTATAGCATCACTTGTTTACCTGATTATCTGACAGATTTCTATGTCTGTTTACACTGCAGTCGCCTGAACAGTTATTGTAAAAATGGGTTTTAACTTTTAAAAGAAAGGGACAAGGATGCCACTTACTAATTCAGCGATCTAAACACAATTTTGGACACTCTGACGTTTCTGATTACTGTTGCTGCTGTATTTTGGGCAAGTGTAGGCTAGTTTCTGATTTTAATGATTTTGATGTCATTTTCTGACATATAAATAGAGACGCAGTTTTTTCCGATCCAATACTGATAACTGGACTAGGCGTATCAGCTATCCCTATAACTTCCCATGTGAGCTAAGGCTTACCATAAATATTGATTAAAAAGGTAAATTAAAAAAAGATATAAATGTATTTTATATTATTTATTTACTACGTGTACATTAGCAGGGAAAAAAAGAATTGACAGTTCCATGTTAAGTGCACTTGTTTGGATCTCTGATATCCGATCACCGATAAATTCAGCTAATTAAACATCGGAGCCAATGTTTGATTCAGATATCACATTGGTGCATCTCTGCAGATGAAGGTAAATACAAATCTGTCTCACTTAAATTAATTGCTTCTTTGTCATTTCCATTTTGAAGGGTGGCTAAGAAAAAAACTTTGTCACGCTGGTATAATAATTTAGATAGCCAAAGACATAGATTACAAATAACAAATTATTTTGAATTTCTTAACAGCCCAAAGGGGAAAACATAAATTTAGATAAATCAATCAGTTACATGTATTTAAAAAAAATAGTTAGGGTTTTAATGAACTCATCTGAATGGAGAGTCCTAGAAAAGACTTTAACGGAAAATAAATTTCTTGTTTAATTAATTTTTTTTTTTCAATGCATCTCTACCAGGGTTTGCAATAAATGTAGGAGCTGTAACTTGTAATAGAGAACTGGAACATAAAGTGTTCTTTAGTCATAGAACAAGAGTATAAGTTAGTTTGAATTATTCTTTCTCTGATGTTTGCCGCTGCAAGTCAAGCACAAAATGTTTACTAAAGAATTCATTAACTCTGTCCATGAAGCTAATTATTTTTAAACTCATAGTTCTTAGGACAAACTTAAAATAAAAACAACATATTTTGTGGTTAAAGAACACTACTCTTCAGAGTCTTTATCATTACGTGCAGAACAAGCTAACTGACATATGAGGAGCATGGCTTTTTAAGTCTAGAGAAAAGAATCTCATGGTGCTGATTTAAAATAATGAATGTGACATGCAAAGCAAAATAATTGGAACAACTTTTTGGTGTCCATCTAGATTTGTTACTTATGTCTAAGACAATTTGTTTATTAATAAAAGATTATTTTATCTAAACCATGTTGTGTGTTTTTATTTTTCATAATAAATCTGTTTAATACAAACAAATAAAGCTACTACGCCAAAGATGTGGACCCCACAGAAATTCAACATTTTATTGTAATATAGAATGTTTATTTAATAGCACTGCATTAAATGATATGACAAATAACAATGCTTTAATGTCATTAAAGAAACATGCAAAGGAAAACAAAAACTTTATTTTTCTTTAGCTTTTCATTTTTATATCATGTTTCGCACCACTGTGATGCAAAACATGATTTATGTCAATTTATTAAATATAACTCCTGATTAAGGCTGCTATTAACTTAATAAGTATGCACTAACAATAGACAGAGGAAGTAGGAGTTTGAACTTGGAAAATTACAGTAAGCAGTGGATGCAATTTAGAAATACAGAAATAGAACTAAATCCAAACTAAGTCACAATACAGATGCCTCTTTGGTCTTCTATTGGTTCCACTATCGCTCTCTGTCCTGAAACTTCTGCTGCTGCACCGACTAGAGCCGTACCAGCTTAACTGTAAGACTTTGGACCTCCTTCGCAGGGGTAGCGATGTTTTGGTAGGATGGAGGTCACTTCTGGTAAAGGCTGTTTCTCCCATTCACCCTGGAATGGATATGATACAAGTTATAATTTCATTGAAAATAACACTTATTACAGCTAAAGGTTTAGTGGAGGATGTTCTTTTTCCGGGTGCATCATCAAAATAAGTGGTCCTGCTAATTTTCAATCATTCTGGTAATATGCTTATGTAAGGCCGTCATACGTGCCCTTCCCCATTTTCACTTACCGGTGGTGAGTCTGACATAGTGGAAAAAGCGATACCAACAACTTTTAAATAGAGCGTGAACGAGGAGAATTGGGCTTGTGCCTGATAGGCGTTCTCTCTCTGGAGCGGGTACAGGGTTGATGAAAATCCTATATACCTTAACAGGTTTTGATTTTGAAAATTTAATTTGGCAAAAATCGAATGATTTGTGCTTTTGTAAGTTATGTCATATCAAGAAGTTGAGGGAAAAAAACAATTGAAATTGAAACAGAACAATTCATATTTAAAGATTGAAATTGAAATCAATCATTAACTGTAAATTTAAATACTGAAATGTACTGATTGGTAATGTTTCAAACTTTATTAGATAAGTAATATGTTTACACTAATTAAAAGTTTGGGAACTAAGAACACTCGCTGAAATCTTAAGGTATTTTAGAAAAAGCATAAAGTTAATCTATCAATGGCTGTTATTTGATAAAGCTTTTTATAAATGATACCTCTATTCAGCTTCTGGTTGGATGATAATTCCCCTCTTAGGATTTTTTCCATGGTGTTGGTTTAGGCAGCTCAGACAAATCTATTGATACTTTCAGGATTTGTTTGTACATGTTTATTTTTTTTAAAAGTGTTTATAAAAGGACTGAAACATAATTTATAAGCCAAACTGTCTAACATGAAGCAGCTACAGTAATTCTATATTTACTTTTTATTTATGTCACTAAAACCAGGCACATTTTATCAGGTCATATAAATTACTAACATTTTAATGTATATTAAGTTCTGCAGACATTTTACCCATTGCTTTTTTTTTTTATTGGACTTTCAACTTTGTCTTATATTGAACTTTTTAACCGTGAAATAAAAGCAAAATAATTAGTAAAAAGGAAAATACAATTTTCACTGAATTGACAGGCTAAAGTTGCGCTATTGTATTCAACGCTTTAAAGCAGCTCTGAGGCGGAACCATTCAGCCTCTGTATTTTAAAATAATCCAAGCTTGCATGATATCAACCTAATTTAGAAGCTCAAATGAAAAAAAAAAAAAAACACTATAAAATAAACCACTGAGAATATGCAGGACATTAACTATTACTCGCTTTTTTATTTCTCTGGAACATCTGCAGCTCCTTAGCCTTCCATTCAATCTAAAAAGGTATAAAAACCCATATGTGGAAGAAAGGACCAGTCTGAGTTTGCAATCTAAAGTTTGCAATCCTACATAAGCACATTTTCCCTGACAGGTTCTCTTTTTCATGTTGCTCTTCTAACCTAATTTTGATAAAGCTGTTTGGTTTTAGCACCACATCCCTAAGATTTCAAGCGACATTGTGAAACTTTGTTTAATATAAACTGGATTTTCGGTTAGGATTTATTTTTGAGGTTTAACACCTCCTTTCAACACAGACCTTTTAACTCTCCTGTTCTCTCCTGTTTTCTGTCAGAAAAACTTTATCAAGGCCTCCAAACCGTTCCATTCATTTATTCACTCTCATTCCATCATCTTGAGAGTCTGTGGTTTATGAAAGTATTCAGCTAAGTGAGTCTGACTCTTCTGTTGATATATCTGTATTGATATAACTTAATTGGTGGCCTGTCAGTGTGTTATAGCTTGTAAATATGAGTGTTTGATGAATAGGTGACTCACAGGAAAGAGGCGTGCAGTCGACTGATTGCAGTGCATGGAGATGGGAGCTGTATTATAAAGAGAATCCAACACTTCTCCAGCAAAATCATCCCAGTGCACCTGAGAGTACTGCTCTGTCACACCCACATCGCCACACACACACTGGTCATTACCATTGAACCTGGAGGGGAAATGTAGGGAAGATGGTAGCAAAAGACAGACGGTTTTTAAAGATGCATTATCTTTTTTTATATTGGTCAAAAGCATATTGAATCTTAAATAAAAAATGCC